TGTCTTAATGATGGTTGAATAGAATCTGTTGAAGCATATACCATTAATTTAGAAAAGTAGAATAACAATCAGAAGTGACATACTGTGAAGCAATATCTTAGTTTTTCATTTTCAAAAAATTAGAAAATCTTAAAGAACAGTGTCGTATATCAGTTTCAAATTAGGGATATTAGTGCAGAAATCAAAAACATGATAAAACTTGTTTTTTTAAGTAAACAATAATCAATATTCAAGTGGTTTTTGAAGTTTAAAAGTGGAACGACTTCTTAAGACTATGAATATTGAGGGCACCCTTTTTATACTAATGGGACTTTTGGGATCAACATTCCTAAATTGATTTTATGCAGTGCCTATCAGGAAATGTGGCAAGAACATTTGAGAAATGACACATTGGGTATAGGTTTCTTCAATGTGATGATCCTGTTTGCTCTGCTTTGCTTGACCAAAAGTTAATTTGTAGATAAACTTTTCCTACAGCATGAAATAGATCCAGTATTCCTCTTCATTAAAAGTTACAATTTTGTTTCTGTAAACCAAACCTACCATGAGGACTGGTATAAAAAGAGATGATAAAATAAAATTTGTTTAATGAGACAGACCCTTCTCAATCATAAGAGAAAGAATGACAGATTGCACAATTCACTAGTAACATATTTTATATATCACTTTTGAAGAAAATGGAAATAACATTATCAATACAGAGGGAGAAGACCTTTAAAAAATAGTCTTTTCATAATACCTTCTTTCCGTCACAAGTGAGCATAATGCGCTCAGATGGAACAACAGGTTCTCCATCCTTTGTCCACTTGACATCAGGAATAGGGTTGCCAATGAAAGGTGCACCAAGCAGGAGGATGTCTCCCTCCTCTGTTGTTACATCACGCAGGCCATGGATAAATGCAGGCTTTTCTTCTGGAGCATCACCACGACCCTTGTCTGCAAAGATAACAAACCATTTTGCATTAAACTAATCCAGGCATTTGAAATAAAGAGTTGTTAAGGATGCATATTGTTCCACTTATTAAAAATACTATAAGTTTATCATAGTTTCTTGTTATAATGGTAAGACTGAAAGCCAGCATAAGAAAACCTAACTGGCTTGCATTTCACAGAATTCCCCCTGATAATAAATTGCAAACCAAAATGACACAATCATTCAGTGCTACAAAACAGTCTAAAATGCATTACTCTGTATATCTGAATGAATACTTCACAGCACATTATACAAAGATGTAGAGAAAAAACAAACCTGACACATCTAAACGAGCTTTGGATGAAACTGAGCCCTTCTCATTTGTAGCTGTCACTTCATAGTCTCCAGCATCCTCAGGCTTTGCCTTTTCTAGCACAAGTGTTGTTGTTCCATCAGGCAGTTGAACAATCTTCACACTCTTCCCATCTGGCACAATCTCCTTCCCATTGTGAGTCCTTCATGTAGGAAAATGCAAATTATAGCATAAACAGGATATCCAATACCTCTTTCTAACCCACATAATGAGGAATAAGAATTTTCTTAGAGATTCCTGATTTCCTGATCAGTAATAAAATTATAATATAAAAATCTTGAATGATCTTCAGCTTTATTTTTATTCTTCCTTTTCTCCAACTTTTTGTGCTGTTTCTGCAGAAAAAACACTAAAAATTGTCAACACAGACTGAGGAGACTGAGGTCTACATTGTTCTTTGTTTTTGTTTTCTAGTATATCATAAAATTATAGTGTGTTATTGTGCGAAAGAAATAAGTAAATGCCCTGAATTACACAAATGTATGCTGAGTCTGAAAGGGACACCAAGCAAATGGAGCTAAATTCAGAGCACTTTATTTGTCAACTATACAGATTATGAATGATGAACTGAAGGATATGGAAGGAAACATTAGTGGCCTACTTTATAGTAATATCCCAAAATCTTCCCAGTGAAAGTAAGGGAAAGCGTAAAGATTCTGTCACAGCAGCAAGTCTGGGTTTGATATGTGAACATGAGACCTCCAGATGAGGTCTAGTGCTAATCATTACAATGAAATGTTTGGTGCTTTATTAGAACTTACCACTTGAGTGTGGGTGGGGGATGTCCTAGGACTTTCACCTCCAACTTGGCAGGGAAGCCCTCAACAACTGTGCTAGGCTGTAGGCCTGCCTGGAAACTTGGCTTCTTTTCTCGAGCCTCAACAGCCACCTTTGCTGCTCCTGTCAGGTCACCAAGTTTGTTATTTACTGTAACAGTATAGTTACCAGCATCCTCTGGCTTCACAGTATCAATGTGCAGACCAATAACGCCACCAGGTTGGTTCACAAAGTTGATGGCCTGAGTGGGACGAATGGGGTGACCATCCTTGAACCTGCAAGAAATACACAGTAACCAGAATAAAAAGATGCGCTTCAATTTGGTGTTACCTAGCTTTTTTTTTTTAAGTTTTCTATTCTTAATAAGTTTTACTGTAAATGTTTTGCATATACAAGAAATTTCCTGTTGACAGTGTAATCAACAATATGGATTCTATTGTGCAAACTCATAGGTACTTTTACTGATAGTGGAGATACTGTACAGAGGCATAAAGTCTTTTTCCCAGTACTCTGAACAAAGAAAAATATCACATATGACAAGATACACCACAATTTTGCTGCATTTACTTTTCACTTGTCACGTACCTAATTAAATGGTGCAGTCACATAAACATTGGCTAAAACTCACCACTTTATTTCTGGTGCAGGGAATGCAATGACTTGGGCTTCCAACTTAAGGGGCTGTCCAACAACAGCCTTTGTGTCTTCCAGTTGTTTTAAAAATGTTGGTTTGCGGTTATTGGCTGCAACACATAAGTTCATCAGCAATCATAATACAATGTTATTTCAGGTAATACCATATTCTGAACATTAAATAATGAAGTCATATGGTAGTATGTACTTATCAAACAACAGACTTAGTATATTGTATAAACAGATAAAAGCCAACACTATTGATTGCAACTTGTCATTATTCAAGCATTCCTGTATATGTATAAGAACACATACCCACTTCTCATGCCGGAACTTGCTTATGGTTATAATAAGTGTTGGTCAAAGTCTTAGTCACATGACACACAAGTACTGTAAATCAATACCAACATAACACAACATGAGATAGCTCTGTGATAGCACATTGGATTCATACGCATATGACCTTGGAAATGAATCTTGGTGAAGTGAATTATTTTTGTTTCATGCAGCTGCCATGTTGTTGTTTTTACATTACACAAAGAATGACTATACCAGAGTTGTGTAATATTTGAAAATATATTACTGCACATCATTGTAAGTGGCACTAGTATCAATCCCACATCACAAGTTTGCTCATATGCCATGTTAATATTATTGACTGAAGAAAATTAGAAAGTATGATTTTAGATGAAACCATAATGCCAAAATATCCATACCAAATATCATGCAAATTTGTCATGCAGTTCTTAAGTTGAACCATAAATACAGATGGACAACAGATGTGGTCAGCACAATATGCATTAATTTCATGAATGCCATGCAACAAATGCATACTATCAATCAACTGCCCAAAAAATAATTACATGTTATGTAAAAATACAAATAATATTACACCTATAAAAAACTTACGCTTAACAGCAATGGCAGAGATGGCTGTTGCTTCTCCATTCTTGTTGGTGGCAACAAGCCTGTATGCTCCACAGTCTGTTGGAACCACACTGTCAATGTACAATCTAACAGAACCATCTGGCAAGGCTGTGAGTTTAACATGATCACTAGCAGATAGTTCCTCACCATCTTTAAACCTGGATAAAAGTTAAAACTTCAATATGCTGAGCTGACCAAAGCAACACACACTGCCCTACATGACATCACAGAAACTCATTCTTATATGAAATTTAAACTGAAAGGTATCAAGTACTGAAAAAAGTAACACACTTATGACAGTGAAAGAACTCAAGCAAACTAAGCATTTCTCATTATTACATCATAAAAATTTCTCAGTACCTCAAATCCAATTCATGACATGAAAATAATGTTATCTATGGCTGTTTCTTCAAGAAAAGTCCTTTTTGTAAGTTTCCTCACCTGTTTGCAAACCTGTTATTAAATGAGTGCAAAAAGAGACTACACCTCACACCAGTACATTCTGGAACTGTTTAATTATACACATACACATTTCATGAAATTCTGCTTCTGCCTGTCCTTAAAATGGAAGGATAAGCTTTAATTCCCAATCAAATGTAAACATTCACTTTATTTCCACAATCCAGAAAGACATGAAGCCCAGGTAGATCCCTATCTAGTGTGCAAAGGAAATTAAGGCAAAGATTTGATTATTCACCTTCAAAGTGGAGCTTATTTCCACGTCTTCTATATAATTTTAAAGAATAATGCTTAGGTACAGAATTAATTGTAGTTCAGTTGTATTATATTAAATCAAGAGAGAGAAAATACACTACATTCTAAACCCACCATTTGACTTTTGGAACAGGGCTGCCATCTACTTTTGTCTTAATCTCCAATATGTCCCCTTCATCCACCTCAATGGCTCTATCAATAGGTCTTCCAAATGAAGGAGGGATCTGAGCCATGATCAAGTTAGCAGTTGTCTCTGCTTGGCCAACTAAGTTGGATGCTGTCACACTATACTGTTGAAATTATAAAAATTACAGAAATACTGACTATAACAATCTGAGAGTACAAATGTGGGTGTTGTTTTCAGTCATTTCTTATTCATGTGTGATAAAGAAGGCTACACAAAGAAGCCAGAATTGTGATCCAAGTACAATAATCAGTCTGAAACATTCATGTTTCAAGTCATACAGAAAAGTGAAAAATATGCATAATTCTGTTCAACTGTGCAGCCCTGCATCTACATACTTTTATGATTTTGATGAATAAATACGCATAACAACAGGAACTGTGAACATTAAACAATTATATAGGCAGTATAGGCCCAAACATGTAGTGCTACAATTAAAATGCATGTATGTTGATGGTAATTATTTTATGCATATTATTCACCATTTAACACACACCAGGATGCACTCCCTAGAATTAAAATTAAAATTCAGTGATTTTCTCAACCAGACACTAAAAGTTAATACCACACTCACCTTTCCAACATCACTTTCACTGAAATGTTTAATTGCAATACAACTGGACACCAACACCTCAGAGACCGTCTCAATGGTGAGTCTGTCTTCACTCTTTAGTTCCTTACCATCCTTGAACCTAAACAATGAGAAATATGTAACATGTATCAGTCTGTCTGGTAATATGCCGCAAACATTATACTAACAAGACACACGTCTACCACCATACACATTCTTTAGCCAATTCAAACCAGTTCCCATTCTATTAAGCAATTTTCTTGTTTCTCACATGACCACCTTCATTATTTAACTACTCTGAGTCATACATACCACAAAAATTAATAAGTCTAGTAGAAAGTAAATGTATAGTTTTATATGCCTAAGCATTACTACAAGAAATTACACAGGAGAACTGGATGTAAGAATCTATGCATTCTTAACCCCAAAACCATATAGAGATCTGTGAGCAGGTCTGCATATGGTAATTAACAGATAAATCCCTGTAACTCCTGTAAGAGTATGAGCCATTAAACTTGTGTGTCAAAGAACTTGAATGGCTCCACCTTGAAAATGGTCCACAAATGAAGGCATTAGCCATAACTATGTATTCTAAGAGAGATAAAAAAACAGACTTTCATCAGAATTGTTACAAATGTAGTATAGGATATAGAAAATGTAAAAGTGCACATGACTGTCATAGGAACACATGTGGTTACAATCACACTTTCTGGGAAGGTGAAAGTGCAAACATAATTACTATCTGCTTTGTATGCCTTGTCCTTCATTAACCTCCATACTCCAGGCCTGCCACATAAACTTCAACTCTGAACCTATGAAAAGAACAAAATTTCAAGCATTTATTTCTTCTGTTTCACATTAAAGCAATAATGTCTTACCACTTGATAAGAGGCTTTGGCACACCATTAACTCGGACACGAAATTCTGCATCATCATAGTCCTTGACAGTCTGATCTTCCAGATTTTTCACAAATGTAGGAACCTCCGCTGTAAAACACATTAGAGCTTTGAAATATGTGGCTCTGCAAGCATTAGAAATATAATTTTTAAAATATCACATCAAGACATTTAGCAAGATCTGAAGATGAAAATACTAGAAAAACTTATAAAATTACATATACAGTGACATAGAAAATAAGAGTATTTCTCTGACAGCATTAAATATAAATATTGTAAATGAATAACATTGTGGATGAGGTGGAAAGCTCAAATAATGACAGACACACACAAAGAAGAGTGACACAGATTCAAGACAAGTGCTTATGGGAGGGCAAAGAAAACTGGAGGAAGTTTTATCATAAGAGAATTGACCCTGGTGGCAGTTTCAAAAAATATGATTAATAGCTAAGTGCAGAGTAACTAGATGAAGGTAAATCTACTTACTATGTACATGGAATTTTGCTGTTTGGCTACTCTCTCCTCGAATGTTGGTTGCGGTCACAGTATATGTTCCATCATCTCCTAGGCCAATGTTAGAGATGTACAGCTTGTAAATCTCCTTCTCAGTATCTCCTGTAATCTTAGTGTGTTCTGTATTCTCAATTTTCTGTCCATCCTTAGTCCTGAATTAATGGAAACTCAGGTATAAAATTAGCAGCAAATAACAATGCAATGCAAGGTATCCCATTTGATATGAAAGAATGTAATATGCTTATGAAACAAATAACAGAAAGAATAAATTAAAAGTCAACTGCTAACCACAAAGGTAGTTAATAAACTGAAGTCAGGATTCATATTCATATGCTCTGAAATAAAGTTCTGCTAAATCTGCAAAACCTCAAAATGGCCTTTCACTGTGCCAGAAGAAGGAACCTAGCATCTACTGACTAAGGTACTGCGGCTTATTAACAGACAAGAAGGGAAGTACTATGGAAAGAAGGCCACACATGCAGCAGTTCTGGCTGTCAACTGTACTATTAAAAAGTAAATGTATTTCCATTAGTTAATATGGCACAGCATCCCCTACAGTTATTCAACTGTTTTATACTATTAAGAGAAAACAAATCATCATAAAATTCTGAGTAGTATTCATCATTCCAATAACAAATATTATAGTGTAGTATTTACCAGTTTCTCAAAAATACTCAGATCCATGTTGTTAGTTATATCTGTAATCATATCACCACAATATGGTATGAAATCACTTTAAACAAAATGCCCTATTGTCTCAATTTCGATTTCATAAAAATTTAACGTGCAATGGTCCTGCCATCAGTTAATACTTGGAGGCATGATATTTAGTACCTGTTATCTTGAGAACCTACCAGACAACTTGGGGTTTAGGGTTGGCAAGAATGAGGACTTCAAATTCAATGTCTTCATATGGTATTCTTTGTGAGTCTTTCATTCCATCAATTTCAGGTACAAGAAGAATATCCAGTCGGGCCTGCAGAACAAAATTCACAGAAACCCTCAAATGACCAAATTTAAAATATCACCAGTAATAACAGATCTGAACCAAGACCAGAACAAATTGTATAGAATATGTCAAAACAAAGGGCTTTGACAGGAACACCCAAGATGACAGAAACTAACAAACTCAGAGAAATAAAACTATTAAGAAACCTTCCTCCTAAGTTTAGATTCTGGTAACAATAATGACAGCTTAAAATTCCAAATTTAACATCTCCTAAGATGAAGACAGGGCACAAAGTTACAAACTAAATACAGGTAATAAATTGACATCTACTGATATTATTTCTGTGTATCCACAAATTGGAGAAATTGAGCAGGGCACTTACACTGCACTCATCCTCCCCAAATTTGTTCTTGGCAGTGAACTTGTATTGGCCAGTGTCCTTGTGGCGGCCAGAGGGGACAGACAGGGTGTATGTGTATTCCTTTAAACCATCTTCTACATCCTTGGTCTCAAAAGTAAATTTGTGGAATTCATCTTCAGTCAGCTCCACATCATCATGAAACCTACATGAAACACAGTATGAGTCACTAGAAAAGGTTTGGTTTAAAAGTCCTTGCTGTGGACACTTTATTATTGCTATGGCGCAGGTAGTGCAATCTCAAACATGTCACATTGAGCTGCAGTCGATCAGGTATCATGGACCTTCAGATTGAACACATTCATGGGATAATTAAATATAACACAAAATGTCATGGACAAGTGGTTAGAACTCCTGCTTCATATTTGAGAGGTCTCAGTGTTAAATACTAGCCTAGAGTCTGGTTATCCTGACTAAAGTTTTTCATTGTTTTACTCAGACCTTCCAGGCAAATTTCAGGATAGTATCTTAAATTAGGCCAAATCACTTCCTTCCATAATCTCTCTAATTCATTAATCATCCTACCATTTGATGCTATGCAGTTCAGCTACCAACAGCATAATTAAATAACAAATAAATAAATAAATAAATAAATAAGATTATGTATGACTTCACCACAGCTGAAAAGATAGAGTTCTTTCATCATTTGTAGGGAACTTTTCCTCATCATGTGCTACCACCAACAAGACTACATATCTTAACCCAGATTACAACAATCTGAAGAGCTATGACAAATTTTGGTGAAGCAACTCTTTGAAATGTTACCACTTACAAGGAAGTAATGGGAGGACAATTTTACAAGAAATTACGGAAAGAACTTAAGATGTTTGTTTAATTTTAAATGCTTTCAACAGTGTATAATAATCATATTAACTATGTGTAATATATTGCTGTAACTGCCTTCACAATCTGAATAACATTTCAGCTTACCATTTAATATCTGGAAGGGGGTCAGCAGTGAGTACTAATGTTAGCACAGCTGGTTCATTCTTAGGTACTGACAGAGGCAACAATGGCTGCTTGATTTTTGGCTTCCTGAACTCATTAACAGCTGTAGAATAAAGATACATGCATAGTGTAGACTTTCTCATTTTAGACCACAAAACTAAATTTAGCTACAAATTAAGTAAATCCCTGCAGCACTTCTCTGTTTAGTTCTAAGAAGTGGCAGCACTAATTCACTAAAAATTATAAATTTAGGAACATGATATGCCAGAACATGCAATGCACATACACAGAGAGACAAGAAATGTAATTCACAACAAATTTTATTACGCATACTTCAAGCAAAGAGAAAATTTAGGATTTAAGGGGAGGGGGCACAAAAGGAAAGATAAAATTAGCATGTGTTATAAAGATATGAATGGACTGAACAGATTAAGAAAAGAACCCAGTTCTTGTATTTATTGATCATAGTAAAGAATTCTTGGATTTCATAACAAGAGATTTTTTTTCAACTGAATAACTATCAAATGCCTGAGGCAGACGTTATTTAACTCACAAATAAGTGACAGTTTTGCTTCATGGGTCTTCTCTCCAAGCCTATTTGAAATCTTGCACTTGTAAGTTCCAGCATCAGACAACTGAGCATCCTTCAGTTCCAGCTTGTAAGATTCACCGCTATCTGACAGTTTCACATGATCAGAAGAAGTGATTTCAGCCCCATCATGGTACCTAGACACATCATATTATACTTAGAGATAGTGATAAAAATTCAATCAAGTTAAATGCAATCAAATATCTGAGTGAATACTCACCATTTTGCTTCTGGTCTTGGGATGCCAGTAGCTTGAACTTCATATGTAGTATATAATGACTCATATATTTTTCTATCATCCATGTCTGTGCCAATAATTTGAGGAATGGCTGCAAGAAATCCATACCCACCAAAAATGCTTTACAAATTTAATATAATTGCTATATAAATTGAATATAAATTATTTAATCCATACATGAAACTTTGATGTTAAGTGAAGCAGGCAGAATATTTCTCTGCACTTTATTAAAGTGAAACAATATCAATCTGTCCTAATAATGTAACTTAGAGGAAACAGTTTCTGAACGACAGATTCACTATCAAAGTAAGCATGGTTTGAATGGAAATAGGTGGCAGAATTCACATCCTATGTAACACCCAGATAACACTACAATATAAATTCACTGGTTCAAACAGCACTAAATTAATATGCACAACTTCTGCTACTTGATCAATTTATCAAGATAGTCAATAAAACAGTAGCACATTAAGTAGAAGTACACAGACATTTTAATATAAATCATGAGGTGAAAGAAGAGAGAACAAAGAGCCTGACAAGATCATATTAACAGTCATCCAAACTTTATTAAAGCATATATCTCTGAGGTTAGCCATTTTAATACAATTAAACACAAGAAAAGTCAGCCTCTATAATAATGTCACTTTAGCCAACATAATGGAATGTTCATAAGTAATTGTTACATACTGTAAGACTCCATAAGGCCTTGATTCTTGTCTTACCTTAATTGTATTATGACTAAAAAAAGAAACAGAAAAGTATGAACTTACCAATAATGCAGCTGAGTCCAGGAGCAGAAGAAGCCAGCATAAAAACAACAGACATCACACTCACAGTTAGCGCTTCATGCAATCTACAATTAAAATGTTCTAGTTTACAAAATTATGAGTGTAAGTGTGTTTGTATATGAAATGTCATAGTTGGTACCACTAAAAATGAGACAGTGCTTCTATATGAACACTCCATTCCTCGAGGGATAGACATATAAGTGGGATGACACAGTGTGTATTATCTGTGTAGCAACAAAGAAGCCCAGGAAAATGAAGGCTTATAGTCTCATTGTCACTGGCACTAATTCAAAGTAATTTTCAATAATTTGTTGAAGGATCCTGAAATACTCATAAATATATTACATTTCAAAATAAATCTCATAAAGTTAGGTTATTAGAAGAATAATGGCGTTAAGTAGAACACCTAGCTGAAACAAGCACAGAAAATACATTAATTAAAAGCACTGAGTATTCATAAAAAACTATATTACTTCCATTGTACTACTTTAAATCCATAACATACAGAGACATTGATTGATGAAGAAAATGAATGCAGGAGTGTGTGTAACTTGATCAGTTACCAGCAACTAAGAGCATTCACTCTTTCTCACCACAGCAGCACACCATACCATTTGAGAAACATAAAGCTAATAAAATGTATTGCTCTCTACTAAAGTAAATTCCTACAACGTATTTACCGTATGTAGAACTTCACTAATGACTTACACAAAACTAAAACTTCTGATGGTAAATAAATACACAGATATAATACAGCAAGTATGGGCCACCATTTATTCGCTGTAAAAATTTAACGAACAATTTCATAAAGATCATATGATCATTCCATAAATTAATTTTCCTATGCAAAGTATCAAAATTTCTGAACAAATAAAATTAAACCTCATTCATATCAAATTCTGTCAAATGTATAACATTACAAAATGGGGCCTATAAATCCCAGAACTTCCCATGCTATTAGATGTCTCAATGCCAAAATCAATATTTACAGAAAATTTCAAAATTAACAGAATAATCTCAGCAAAATTTTTAAGTAAGTAGAAGATAATGACAAATAGTAATAACTTTATGTGTATATTTATAAAGTCCAATCAACACAAATTGACAAGAATCTGCAAATTATATTATTTGGTCTTCTCATACACCTCTCAGGTTCTGTAGGTTACTTATTAAATTATAAGACATATTTCTCCTTTAGTATGATTTCATAATGGTATGTGACTTTTTATTTGATCTAATGAATGATAAATGTAGAATTATATGAGAACTTTAGAAATAATTTTGATACTTTTGATAACTAATCCTTTAGTAAGACCTTGCTGAAAGATGATTATGGAAATAAAAAGCATATTATTGCTATTAATTGATTCAAAGATGATAAAGACATACCTTGACTTAATGCTCAGATTCAGTTCACTTTCAGCTCTACTACATAACAAAGCAAACAAACTGCCTATTATTTACTTAAGTTATAACATTCATTAATATGCATATGTGAAGAGAATGCGGTGTCTATGTTATATTCTGCATTGTCAAGATTTTCTTACTTCTTTCCTTCTACTTTCCTGACATGATGCCTTACCTTCGTATTTCCTCTCCTCCTCTTTGTCTAGAATTTCCTCCAAAACACTTCTTTGTTTCTTGATTCTCTGAAACAGAGCCTCTATAGCTGGATCATCTTCATCATCCTCTCTAATTCTCTGTCCCTTCAGATACATTCTCTCATGTATCTGTTCACCCAACAACATCTTTGGCTTCTGGGAAATAGAATCAACTTCGTCTCCTACACATGATTCTAGTGCCAAGCCTCTTTGGGGTTCCAATGCTGGAGAAGTGATCTGGGATACTTTCAAGTCATCTTTAACTTCATTAATGGATGATTTCTCCACTAGCTTACCTTTCTGTGGTTTGGCTTTTTCTGATGTTGATTTAATTCTCTTACAGCCTTCACTATGGACATCACATGAGGCTACATCAAATATCTTTTCCTTTTGTGCTTCGTTATCAGCTGAGGGAGCCAGAGGAAGCTCAGGTGAAGGCTCACTGATAGGGAAAGCTTCTTCAGCACTAAGATCTTTAAAAATACTACCTTTCAGACTACCCTCATCATCAGAAGTCAGAGACACTATTGACACTCCACGACTTGCAAACAATTGGTTTTGTCTGTTAATTTCATGCTCATTAAGATCTGTGTCTGATACTGGCTCTTCTATGAGCACACTATGGTCAAATTTATTATTTGTATGTTGGACACTTGAAGAGTTAAAGTTGCTATCTTCCAAGAATTCTTCCACCAATACTCCAGCACTCTGATTCTTTCCCAAATCTTTCATTTTGGCAACTTTTGGAGTAATGTTCAATGACTCTGTAGACTTAATTTCATCCTGAGTGATGAAACAACTTGGTTCCTGTGGTTCCACAGAAATACCTTCACTTGACTGTTGGCATACCACTTTTGTTGATGATGTATCAACACGAGTGTGAATTGCTTCGGAACCTGTAATTAGTTGAATGTTAGCAGCAACCTGACTGTTAGGAGTTTGTATTGAATGGCCCTTTGAATCAAACACAAAATATCTCTGCACCATCAAAGACAGTCATCAGAAATATCAGCTACAGAAATGAGAAATGACTGAATTTGGAAGCCTTGTCTAAAAGTACTATCCCAAAATTTGTTTGACATGATCATGAAAATCAACGAAACTAAGAAAACTCTCTCTTCGTGACCAATATTCACACGATGTATATCCTGAATACAAGTCACATGTTTTACTGAGGCAAAATTTCTTTGTTACAGGCACAAAAATTGATACTGATCATGAGGTTTCATTTAATACATAAAAACAGAAGTGAATATGTTTTCTTTAATCCAGAACTATCACTGGAACATGTTCAGAAGCCTCAAAACAAAGGCCTGAGAATGCTAGAACATCAGAAACAAACTTAAAGTGGAGTGATTTGGTTTCATTATAATGTATCTAGATTCAAAAGACAATCCATATTAATTAATGATATTAATAAAAATGCATAAACCATCTACTTTTAAGGACATAACAACTAGGTGTGTTGTAATATCTACAAAGAGCTCTGACTATGTTTAACAACTTCATACTTTTGCTTTTGCTTTAGTGCCTTTGAAAGCTGAACATGCTTGTACAATGACAGTAATGCAAGAAGAGAATTTTAATGCATCACTGTCAGCTGAATTATGTTTTTCTTTTCTTAGTAATGCAGAGAAAAGATACAAGATCAACTGCACAGTTTCAACAAAACTGGGAAGGAGGAAAATACAAAGCTTCACTTTGCCAACAGACACTTCTCACTTTGAGGTTTAGCTCATCAAGATCAAATGCTACCACAGCTTTATTGTTCAATGACGTCACAAAAAATAAACACAAAGCACACATTGGTATTTTAGAAGATTAAATTGCAAAGCACTAAAATACCAAATTATCCATGTGCAGAATAAACCTATATAATCCATTCAGTGTTATAGTGCAACAAACACACTGCCTGCAGTGTCATGGCCAAAATAAACTAATCACTTGCCAGTATCCTACATATAAAGAGAAATGCAGCAATGCAAATAGCAGTACATTATATGCATACAATAATCTGCCTTTGAGATAATGTCACACAGTCCAAGTATGTACTTGGGTTGGAAGTGAAATACTTGTTTATGATATGAACACACACTCAGTACAGTACCTTGCAAACCATCTTCTGAGAGCACTGCGGTTTGGTGCAGAGTTGTAGCTACAGATATAGTGACAGTCTGTTCACCAACTCCAACTCCACAAGAATATGTTATACTCTGAGTCTCAACTGTTGACAGAGATTGCCTTTCCGACTGTTGTGCTTCTAACACTAATACAGGAACACATATACAGTGGTTATTGAAAAGAGGCAACATACACTGAAACCCAGGTATAAACTAACCAACAGTATTAACAGTGTTAATACTAAAGTCCACCACTGCACACAATCTTGAGCCAGTTCATATTCTCACAACTGATCTTCCTATGATCTAATATAATACTACCCTCACATTTCCATTTTTGTCTATAAATCTGATTCCCAGGAATTTTCCCCATCAAAAATGTGTATGCATTCCTTTTCTTCTCAGTTAAGCCACATATCCAACCCACCATAAAATTACCCTGGCAATAGCATGAGAACTGCACAAATCATGAAGGTCCTCGATGCAAAATTTTCTCAATATCCTTCTTAGGCACAATATATTATTGGTAATTCTGTATTTAGTAACCTGTCATTTGTAAATATAACGCCATTAACCAGTTTTAAATGATACAATTATGTAACAAAATGATGTGTTTTGTGAAGATGATGTACTTTGAAAAAGTCATAATATTGTAAGTTTCTTTTAATAAATGCTACAAAACATGGAAAAATTATTGATTCAGGATATTCCAATCCAAACTGAAAGTCAGTACAAATTTATCAAACAAACTATGTTATCCTTGTTATGTGGCTAGGTAAAAATCCATGAATAGCTATGTACAACTGACATGTGGACTATGCAGTGAGCATTTTGTAAAACTGCCCTGAATAAGTTCTTATTTCATAAAACAGATCTGTAAGTAGCATGGCTGTCTCTAATGGCAACATGTAAATGACAAAGGTGAAAATGTACCCATATCTAACACCCATAACATAACATGAAGGCATAATGACACAGCTTCTACATTCCATGCCTCAGTCTTGGGGTCCAGCAGACACAGTCTCTAGTACAAACTCAATAGAACACAATCTCTTAATATCTCATTAGTTCAACATGACTGATCACATGAGAAGATTTTATCACTTTCAGTCACTGTGAAAGCTCCAAGTCTTGTATTTCCTTACTTTCTTATATCTGGGTTTCATTGTATCACCATACTTTTATAGAACATTATGTCCCCTAGCTTACTAAAGTTTTAGTTTTTTGTAGCTTAGTATTATGCATTTAGAAAAACATCAGAAATACATAAAATATTATTTCAGACTGAACAATTCTATCTATATTAGATGACAGATCAGTTAGCTATACATGTAACAATAGTTTTTATTCAGAAAGTAATTTATTGATAGAAATAAGAAGTGATAAGTGTTTCACTAAATAGTTTGTTTACAACAATACACAGGTCACTTTACTCTCTACACACACCCTAATATACTGAAACAAAACAGACCTCAACAGCCAAACAATTCCACTTGCACTTTCTTTTGTTCACAATAGTTTAAGATTTATCCATAAAACAAATTCAGCTCTAGAAAGATATATTTAAAGAACAAGAAGCATTTGTGTAGGAACATCAAACTGTAATTCAGTGAATTAGGAATTATTTGACCATTTCATTTACATATAAAAACAGTATAAATGCAATACCTTCATCTTGAACACCCTGTTGAGGAATAACTTCCACTGTCACCTCCTCTTCAACTACTTCCTTTGAGGTAACTTCTTGTGATATTTCTGCTTCTTCTTCCTTCTCCTTTTTCTTTGTAAGGGCTGTGGTGGTGAAAGTTTTTAAGCCACAACTAACATTTAGACCCACTTCTAAGGAATTACTTCATCAGTCTACTTATTTTATGTAATTTGTCATAATGACAATCATTTTGAACAGATTTAAACTGGAAGAAATATGTTATGCAGAAATTTCAAGAATGTGTAGGATTCTATAAATATTTAACATAATTTGCAGTTTCACAGTCTATTTATCTAAGATAACATTTTAAACAGCATCCCCCACCTACATACAGGACAAGTTTATGTATTTATTGTGTAAGGTATTCTATTAAAACGTGTATGACACTAGTGGCTCTCATGTAATTACAAGGCCAGCTTAGAAAGACACAGAATCATGAGTAGTTGTTCAGAATTTCTCAAGTTTCCTCTGTGTGTGACATGTCAGTCTGTGTTCAACATACACTCTCACACATCACAGGGAAAGACACTACACTAAACCATCCAACAATTCCGAAATACAAAAGGAATTAATTGTGGGTTGACTGCAATCCGTACAAATACACAGATAAGTGGTGTTATCAACCTGTCACTACAACTGACTGACATCAACCAAAAGGACCATGCCTTTAGTACATAATGCACTCATACCAAACAATGTCATACATCTTTGGCATTATTAAATGACTGTTGAAAAGAGAAACATGTGGTGATACCAATTACAGAAATTGAAGCACTATATTTAAATAATTAGATTTGATAATATTTAAGGTGAGGTTCCTCTTTTCAACTGAAGGAAATAACACAAGGGCAAGAACACAAAATAGAATGGTTTCAACTTTCCTGTCATTCCAATTGCTTTAACATAACAATTACGACTAAAACATTGGAACCATGAAAAGGTATTTGTAATGCTTTTATACTGAACTTCAAGGTTTTACTCTAGGAAATAATAAACTTTAGCATATCACCTCTTCAAAGCTAAAGAGGTGTCACAATGATTCTAAACTGAAAGACGCATAAAAATCAATAACTGATTTCAAATATAACAGCTCCCAAGTTTTTGATAACATGAAATCAACAAAGCTAACAATTAAAAAAAATTATGTATCACAAGAAGGTTTTTATTCTACTGTTTCCAAACTCCAGTCATAAACAGATGTTCATGACACCAACCAACCAACCAACCAACTAGGAAGTAATTTAACTAACTAAATAACTAATTCCATGATACAGAATCTTCTTTGAGCAAAGCAAAGGCACTACCTGCTGCTACTGAACTTACAAGCACATCTCTGTTTCCATAAAGCCCACCACTGGACCCCATCTCGGACTAGTTCAACCCACTTCATATATTCACAAAACTTTTCTCTAAGATATATTTTAATATAATCCTCCCAATCTGTTTCACTCTATAAATCTGTCTCTTCCTGCAAAACTTTCCAACTGATACAAACTAACACATTTCAGGCTTGATTACAGAGATATAATCTATTAAGTTTCGCGTTACAAAATGAAAAGCTGAAACCACACATGAACTTAAACTTGTTGCTTTGGAGAGGGTACACTCAAACAATTCTCACCAAACTTTCTACTTACTTAAAGAACTGCACTATGACTGCCAACTAAGAAGAGCTAAGCCTAATACTTTGGGTAAAAAAGTACAGTGCTTAAAAATACTTCATAAGAATAACACATCAGTAAATATTTCCATTAACATTGCAACTTCATGTGGAAAATTCTCTGAAAAATCAAAGGCACAGCAGAGCTTTCTACCACTATTTTGTGCAAATTCAAAAGCACCTCCAACCTACCTCTTTATTTCTTTATTGCCCTACTTACATACTTTTTCCTTAAGACCTTCAATAAATGACTGCTAATAAATCTCACAGGAGTATCTTACAATGCATGCATAAAACTCTAAGGTGACACAATAGCTTATAAAAATGCAGATATATGAAATAAACTGGAAAAATCTTCTTTCATTCAATCCAGAAAATACACCACAGTTGCAATGTTTGCCAGTTTCTGCATTCTATGTTGCCAATTCTTAAGGTCTGAAGACGTAATTATTAAACATTTTCCAAAATGAAAGAAGAAAAATTACTCTAAATTTCCCACAATGTAACTATTTTCACTGTGTTTCAACCAAGTTAACTCTGTAAAATTTCTAACATAAAATGTCACAGTACTTAAGTATATTAAATAGATCAATATAAAATTTGAAAGTTCTAGAACAAGATATCAAATACGGTGAAAGAAAACAGTTAAGAAAGTCATTAAATAATTTTTCAACTTAAGTGTCAAATATCTTAACTTTAATAACCGTCTATATACAAAATGGTACAGAAATTATAAGATAAGATCTTACTGGTAACTTCACTCAGGATTCAGACTGACATATGGCAACTTGTGGCAGAGAATATGTTGTTAATACCATATAATTCAAAATTATGGAAAAAATTGTCATTAAATTTTACTAAGAACAACATATAATTATAACAAGGAAATACTTCCGAAGTCAACAGTTATTTGTTTAATCTAAAGAAAAGCTTCCCTCTTTGTGCAGAATGTCAGTGTGGGGTATGTTAATTAAACACACCATCATTCACATGTTTCAATACAAAATACTTCAAATTTTCAAATAAAGAAACTATAGAACAGCAGTTATACAAAATTCACTACTTCTAATATTGAATGTTTCTCTTACCTACACAATTTATGAATAAGATATTCTTATGTTCTTGGTAAAATTTTATTTGCTACTCCCATGCAAGCAGTTACTGTGGTCATATTTCATTGCTCATTTGTGAACATGATATAAGTTATAATAATTGGTTGTTTACAAATAGTGGGCTGGAAAACCTGCATAAGCAATGAAGTTCTATTGTGATGCAAGATTATGTCAAAGTGTATGGAGTGATCTCGTGATATACAACACAGTAAGTACATACTTTCTGGACCAAAACTGTCCTTGTTTGGCTGTGAAGTAGGTGAATGAGAATAGAAAGCAGCAGTAATCAAAATCACCTTAAAATGCTATGATCAAACTAATAACAATAACTGAGCAAGTAACTCATCTCTGGAACATGCATGATGTGGCAATGGAAAATGACCACTAAAGGCTGTAAGCAGAAGAATCTGTAGGTGTACTCACTGTTCACTTTGACTGTACTCTTGGTTAAAGCTGTGCCCAATGAGTTCTCTGCACGAGCCTCATAATCACCAGCATCTGCACCTTTTACAACAGTGACTGTCAGATTGTATTCCTCCAATGACTGTGAGTCTCGGCTTATTTTAATGTGGGCATCTGCTGTCACCTCCTGCCCATCTTTAAACCTGCACACAATTGTAAGGTTCAAAACATTATTTATGTCTAGTACCTGAATACCACACTACATGAACATGCAGAATACTGCCTAAAATAAAAAAAATTGGGTTTGTTGCTGCCACAAGGTTGTACTACAAGCAGGATAAGGAAAGAGATAAAGAGCCTCATTTCCGTTTTCAGTCATAGATTGTTTGGTCGCAGTTACATACATAAGAAATGTTTGGTGTTAATTAACACCATGAAGTTTATACTTGCAGTGAAAATTTATTAATAAAACATGTTAAAACAATGAATACAACATAAAAAAAGGATATTTACTAATCAAACATATGCTGTGCCCTGAACTTTGCCAACTTAGGTATATCTGAATCTATCACTGGTTGTATACACAACTGGAATGCAATAGCAAATTAGTCATTTAGTATGTTAAACGTATTTTATATACATTTTTGAGCTTAAATAAATATAGTCAAGTTTGTTTTATAACTTGTTAAATTAAAATAGAACAAAGAAACAACTGCTGTTAGCAAGTCATATGTAGTATAGCACAACTTTGTATAAAATAATATCTGGTACATAGTACAATTTAGTTGTTTTAAATGTATGCAGTTTTAAACATTTTCACAGTTTAAAAATATATTTAAAGATCAAAGCTTGTGTTCGTGCTTGGAGCTCATGAGCTTTGCAGGACTCAGGCTCAAACTTGGCTCAAGCTGAAAATTACTGAGCTCACACATCTCTTTTTCACTTTATTTTTCTATTAGAACAAAATGGTGTAAAATAATACCTCACATCACAACACCAAAAATAATAGCAACATCTTATTTTGTTGAACCTTCCTATATCCAATTTATATTTCATTACATACAAAGTATCTCTTCTAAATATAAAGCTGTATAAATATTTTACCTGGGCCAAATTTGGAGGCTTTTGCATACAGGACTTCCTGTGGTGAACTCCATCTCCAAAACCAAAGACAGAAATGAATGCTTGTCAACTAACCTTCACATTTTTAAGTTGTTTCATTACCAGAATAACAAGCAACCTATTTATACAAGGCTAAGGAATGATAATTCTTCCCCTTTTTATTAGACTGCACTCACCATTTAATCTTTGGTTCAGGAACAGCAGAACACTGCATGGACAGCGTGAGTTCCTGTCCCTCATCAACTTCTTTATTTGTGAGACCTTTCAGGAAGCGAGGCTTGTCTGGAAACAAGAATTCAGGGAATGATTCCAAAGCTAACAAAATTCTCCTGCTAATTTTAACCTCACCAAACTAAACATAGTTCTAAACACCATTTTTATGTGCTCTTATTTTAAAACAGCAGTGATATCAAATGAAATATATACTTAATCTATTTTCAAAAGTTACTGGCCTCATGTTTCAACCTGTAACTTTCTTTTTGATTATTATTTTATCCCATTGGATAACAGTCAACATTTCAAACTATCTCAATATGAATACAGTAGCCATTAAAGCGAGAAGATATAAAAAATGTAATGTTTTATTCAAATGTTACAGTTTACTTTTAAACCAACATCTAAGAGAAGAGACATGGCAAAATACTTCAAAACACTAGCAAGTAACAATACATGTTATATAACAATACACTAGAGAGAAAATGTCTCTTGTTATGTTACAATTTACTTACAATGTACTGTCAAATTACAAGTTGTGTCACTGAATCCCAAATCGTTGGTGACTCTGCATGCATAATTCCCAGTTAAGTCTGCGGCAACTTCTTTAATGATGAGCTTGTAGTCATTCTCATCCTCCACACGAGTAAACTCTGTCTGCTTCTCTGTAATTTCTATGTCATTCAGGTACCTGCACAGTGGATTATAAAGGCACCCACTTGTACACTGATATCAGATATAAAAGTGCATCACCAATTCTTTTCTTTCTGCTAACACCTCAGTTACATCACATAATGCAGTATTTCTTCTGAAGATAAGTAGTGGTGTGGCAAAGTGCCAGGTTCCATTTGATGTCCCAAAACTGATAACAAGTTGTAATAACATGATAGGCCTATTGCACACAACAGGAGAGGTACATAAGAGTGATAACTGACTGAACATAACAAAAATAGTTAGAGAAAAACCTACCCCAGTTCCACAAATCCCACATGGATGCCTGATTTGTGACATAACCTGCTTTTAAATCATTAATAAAATTTAATTTCAGCAGATACCTACAAAAATTTAAATGAAGACTGAATGAAAAATAAAATGTGAAAATGCAAACCTATACTCATTCTTGGATATTAAAGAGATTGCTTCAAACAATGTGACTGAACCATTTTAAACTCAGTGCATAAATATACCATTTGATGGTAGGCTTTGGGTAAGCCTCCACATTTATGCTGAATTCAACATTGGTGTCCCCCTCATTTGCTGTGAAGTCGGTAAGCTTTCTTTTGAACTCTGGTGCACAGCGAACATTCATCTCACTTGTGTCTTTCAGCCAGCCATGATCATTCCAGACCTGCACACAAATGCATCAGAGAATGGATCAGACATTGGTAATTTTCAGTCATCCATCAAAAAGCCCATTATTACATTGCTAAATGCTACACTGATGCTGAAATAAAACTAAACTGTCATTCAAGGCTTCATTTTTGCTTTGACTACTACCCAGAATATATCACACCATCACTATGTTACTACACCTAGAATAACCCAGTATGTAACGTTTACAACTTTTTTCCCTTATGATATCTGTATGGTTAACAACAGATGGAAAATAGTAAGTCATCTTCTTACAAACACATGTACTTCTACAATTCTATCAGTCACCAGAAGAGGAGGGTATTCACCAGGCTATGTGCAACAAAATGGTGCACAAAAGACATCCTGAAACTGCCTCTCAGGACACAAAAGACTCATAATATTCTATAACTAAACAACATTTTTCTGAACATGAACACATTTTGAGACTATTTGTAAACTTTCTAAAAAATGACAGTATACTCATACACTTTATTAAGTACAAACCACAAATCATATATACAATGCAGAAATGTTTACATTTTTATATATAGATTTCTTTATTACACAGAAAATGTGAGAATCTGTAGAGTATTTTTTTCCAATTCGGTGCGTATGTATAATAAAGAAAGAAAGAAAAGAATAATTGAGTAATAAAAAGAATGTGTTGTACATTTGACCATCTCTTGCTCTGTGTTATTATCAACAGTAGGTGGTTAATGTAAAGGGTTGTAATTCTTAAAACTTCTGTTTCATTGAAAAATACAATAAGTGGATAAATTAGAATAAATCAAAACAGTGTACAATGGACAAAAATGCAAACCACTCTAAATGAGGTTAATCTAATGAAGAGAAATTATCACTTTTTGTCAAATACTGTTTATTTAGCAAAATAAAAGTGTTTTAATTTGCTATTTCAGTATGAAATACTTGAAGTTTCAAAGTAAAAGACATCAAGGTTCCAAGAAATACTCAGGATTAACATTTCATTTAATTAGTTTTTCATTAATAAAAAGAAATGTTTTAGCTTACAGAGAAAGCAACATAGAGAAGTATTAAGATGGCTGTCTTTCGGGTTGTAACATCATGTAGTCTGGTAGAAGTTTATCACATTTCAGAGGTCCTTTTTGCCTCCACCATCAGGGTGAAAAAACAATAAATATCTACCAGACTACAGTTCACTACAACCCAGAAGACAGCCATCTTTGTACTCAATGTCATAAAAACCTAAATCCTACAGACAAATTAATTTTTGTAAAAAAACTGTCTTACAAAAAAATATTACTGAAACCAATGGAAAATCTTGCAAGTCCTTGAACTAAAACATTATGCAATTTACAACTACTTATTTTCTTCAGATCCTCACCTGTGCTGCATATGTTCCTGAATCACTGCGGTTTACATTTGTGATGACTAGAGAGTGCAACTGACCATCCTCAGATATTGTGATGTGTTTTCCATCTGCTTTCACATCTTCTCCATCCTTCACCCTAGAAGCAAAATACAAAAGAAAATACTACGTACAGTATAAATGGACATGCAAGTCTTCAGAAAGTTTTCTGTGTTTGTACATTCAAAACATTTAAATTATTAGCACTCTCTCCAAAGTGAATTCATGCCATAAAGTAGTTAGCACTTTTCAATTCAATTTAAAACTTCATACAATGTACAAGACTGTAATGGTGTACTCTTTGAAATATACTGACATCCCAAAGGTGTTCTTCACACCACAACATACAGGTCGTTATTACACTAATGTGATGTGTGTCTCAAGTCGTTCTTTCACTTATGTGATTTGGAGTCACTGTTGTACAACAATGCACCAACAAGGGTTTCTACTTTGGTACAATAACTTCTAGTCATGCAGATTGCCTACCCCCACAGAGAAATGCAATAGTGACAGAAACAGCACCATAAGATATTCTTCCCTAACTGATGGGACTACTCTGCTGAAGTGAGTCTGCTATGATGCAACATTTTTGTTTCAATAAATTACCTTAAAAAATGACAAGTGTAAACAGCTAATGTGTTCATAATGTCCTTGATACAAAATTAGTTATAAAATTAAAAATATGAAAAAGGGGTGATTACAACAGACTGGGATATCATGTTTTACTAACAGCTGAAAAATTAGAATTGGCTTTTTTGTTCTACTCACCACTTGACCTCTGGCTTTGGATCTCCTTGAACTTTAATGTCGAAAGAAAGAGTATCACCTTCTTTTGACTCTACTTTCTTGTTCAAATTCTTCACGATAACTGGTGGGGAATGAACAACAAACTGCCAAAAGGACGACGTCTGGCTGATTTCATTGACAGCCACAACCTGAAATGGTTCAGTTAGAAAATTCTAATGCTACCTGTTTTATTATTCCACACGTGATATACAGAAAAGAGTAGGATAAAAATTAAGGCCTGCAAAATAATTTTTTTTATTCCAGTCACAGGAATGAAACTCTGAGATAAAAGGATTAAAGTCAGTGTTTAGATACTGGAGGGGAAAAATAAACCTCAAGTATTACAGATACAATTTCAAAACAAAAAAATAAATTATATAAATACACCAAAAGGCTAGAGAAAAACTTCATTGCCAAAATAGTTTTATAAACAAATTACAAGCAAAATAAATGTTGAAGATGGACTCTTGAAGAAAACTTAAGAACAGTTTAGTGTTACAGTGATTGCTGTAAAGCATAACCCTCAAAAATTAATATTTAATTATTATGTGTTCAATGTACTGTGCTTATATGAGTGAAATCAACATAATAACATTCCAAATGTTAGATCTGTCTTCAATTACTGTCCTTGTGCACTGGCCCCTACATGCTCATGAGGTGGTGTTCTGTGCTCATATGCAAATGGTCATATGATCAACTCACAATAAGATTAAATGTTTCTATTATTGTTTATAATTATAAGAACATCAGAGAATATTACTACTATTTTTATGGTATGTTGTCTTCTTCTTCTTGTTATGCATATATACTATGTTAAATTTGTTCGATATAACTTTGATGTATTGCATCATCACTGTGTTTGCGATAGTTTACTTTCAAACAAGATTTCATGAGTAATTTGTAGGCATGTTTAATATATACCTCCATTCAAAAATCTCACATTCAGTGGTAAAACCGAAAGCCAAAGAAAATAATTGCATGGCCATCATGTTGATGTTCTTCATTCTACAGAAACATTACCTAAACAGGGGCAAAGGTAAAAACGTTCGTAATGCTTAACTAACAATTTTTAATAAATTATTTCCATAGAACTATACCATTTCAGGACCCTAAACAAATTGGTACTAGTAATGCTCTCACCCCACAACATTGTATGTCTTCCAGTAACATTACTATGTTATATCTCTGGTAAACTATCATGTTGTGTTATAATAACTGATTTAAGCTTTCACACTGATTTATTATTGATGCTGAAGCAGCTTTTGTGTGCTAATGCTATGTGAAAGTTGGCTTGTCATTGATGTTTCAGAGGTCTGTACTGTCTCCTTAGCATACCTGATAAATTACACTAGTGATGGAAGCAGTAAGCTCCTCTGAAACACCAGACAATATCTACTAGACTATACAGCACTACATCCCAGAACTGAGCCACCTTCATAGTCACAAAGATCATACTCACTGAATATGAACCAGTATCCTCCAAGCGAGCCTTTTCAATAGTGAGACTGTGTGTTTCTTTCTCCTTCACGATCTTGGTACGATCTGTCTGGGAGATCTGGTGACCATCCTTCAGCCTGGATAGTAAGAACACAGTACTTAGACATGTAAATAATGCAGTACAACTTTCTCCAAACTATATGTACATACGAGCAGAATGCTTTGGTATAAGAGTGGTCAAATGTCATGTTGGTTAAAACTGACAAAGGCTATGATATAAAGCCATATTTACAAGGTTTGAGTGACAGCTTATGGGATAACTGCCCTCAAATGTCTTGGACACCACACAATGTATGTTTCTTAACACAACTGAGTTAGAAAATAAAGATCTGGTGATCAAGGACCAACATTTACTCCAATGTTAAAAGTTAATTTACAAAGCTATGTAAGGAAAAATAGTTCTTGTCATTAATTTTTCAATTTCCCTCAAGAAAAATTCTAAACATAGTGATGCAAGTGTAGATTTAGCTCCATAAACTTGCCTTGTTTCTCGCATATAGCAAATGGGCTTCACTTTTTATTAATGTCTCCACGCTTACTATAGAATTAACTAGGATAAGTGAGACAGGTAATAATCAACATGATTAAAATGAAAACTAGAAATAACTGAAAAAAATTCTGAAAAAGAGACAACTTAAACATGAGGAAGGATATTCTTAAATGAGAAAAAACATTGTTCTGCAGTAACCTGACATGCCAATTGAATGATAACGATAAAGATTGCACAGGCTTCTTCAATTAAGTTCAAATCTTGGTCTGGAACCTGGTTATCATGAGTATTTGCATTGATTTACTCAGTATCTACAAGAACATTCCAAACCAATGCCTTAAAATAGGCCACAAGGCTTCCTTCTTCATCCTTCTCAATATAACACTAATGACTATCTTCATGTATCCTAGCCAAGGTTGTATATTTTATGATATGCAAATTCATTAAGCACTGTTAATTAAATAACCATATCATATACATACCATTTTACCTCAGGAACTGGCATTCCTTCCACCTCAACAGTGAATGTCATCTTTTCATCTGTCATGCAGGATGAATTCTGCAGTTCAGTCTTAATTTTGGGAGGAGCTGCAAAAGAAAAATTAACTAGTGGGTCATCTGAAACACTCCTCATACTCAGTTTCAACACTATTTTCAGTGGGAAATTTAATTGAAAATACCTGTTTAGGAGACTATGTGTGGACGAATAAGAATAGTGAAATGAACCTTATGGAAACAATATTGTAAGAATGTGAGGTGGCTCGATACAATGCACCCCTACTAAAACATCCTTTCTAATTTGAACACTAAGAAATTTTCAAAAAGGGTACACATTAATAAACTTTCCATAATGCAATCTTATCTACTTTCCTGTTTCTTTTTCTTTCTCATAAGTCCAAATATTCTCCTCAATAACCAATCCCAAACAGCAATTCACAATTAACTTACCTTTAACCAATAAGTCCATTTCAGTGGAATCTTGGCCAAGTTCATTCTTGGCCACAACTATGTATTTTCCAGCATCTTCTGCTGTCACACCCTTAATGATTAGTGACATAGACTCCTCATCTTCATACAAGAAGCGGACTCTGCCTCCTGCCTCCACTGCCTTGCCATCTTTTGTCCTGTGCATTACAATGTTGATTTCGGTTGTTACATTACAAAGTTAACCCTTCCTAGTCTTATGTTGATAAAATAAAGGTTAAATTTTATCAAAACACTTTTAAATTAAAGATGTAGCTCCTAATGTTATCTATATTTTATGTCATGTAATGAATTTCTTTCATGATGAACAGTTTTTGAGAAATTTGTCAGATTAATTTAAGTTTATAGTAAAGTATGAGCTTTACTAAACTGATTCAAATTAATTTAAAATTAAACTTTCAGTATTAAATTATAAATTCCAATTTCATCAAAGCAACCCTTATATATGTACTTCCTGTTATACAGTAGACCACTCATAAGCCAAAGCACAAATGTTGCACTAACATCTTTTTGGATCACATTGTAACCTGTATGACAAGTACCTTGCAGTTACTCATTTACTCACCATTTGATGTCAGGTTTTGGGTAACCCTCTACCTTCAGCTCCAACATGGCAGATCCCCCTATACCCACTTCTGTGGTTTTAGACTCAGTACTAATCTTTGGAACCTCAGGTTCTCGGGCCAACTGATTCACTGAGCCTAGAATAAATACATGTCTGTTTGTAAGCTGACAGTAAACAGAAATACTGAGAGGCAAAGAAGCCAAAACTTCCTATAGAAATGGAAATAAAAATAAAGTCTTGTGATAGTTATTACTGTCTTACCACCTGGAGTCACAAAGTTTATATTTATTTCAAATTAGTCACTATATGTTCCAGCATGCATTGACATCATCTTCAGATAATTCATTTTGGAAATTTGAAAGTGTATAATATCAAATGCTCTATATGCATCATGTAGTACATACCAACTTGTTGGTGAGGGACTAAGAGAAATACTGTATTATTACGTGTAACAGGGCATAGTCCTTCTACTTTTGTAATAATCCTATCATTACCTGTTTCCATAACAAATTAGTTATATTAAAATATGTAAATAAAAAAACAAGCAACACAAAGCACTTCTATCACTGCAGTCAAAGTTATTGTATGTTTAACATGCAGCACAATATATTTAAGAATCCTATTGTGAGGGTTACTTTATTATACTTAACTGGTATGACTGCACCTCTACATAAAATATTATTTTATTCTTTAATCAATTAACAAGTATATAGACAGTACTTGAAATTAGGCCATGACCACTTCCTTCCACATGCTTTCCAATTCATTATACACAATCATCCCCTTGTTTGACTCTACATTGTCTGAAACACTGAAAGTGCTGTTAAATAAATTACAAATAAATACTACATCAAAATCAGTTTTAAGAGGTAACCATAACTATTTTATTTGCAAATATTTTATGCAGCTGACTTAATTTTATTGGTACCCAGATGTTAATTTGTATCCATTTTCATAGACTTGCAACCTACATTCATACAGCTTATTATTTTCTAAATTTTTGTATTAAACAGCCACAAAAATGAATACTTTAGTTTAAAATGTACCTAACATAATATTCTAACTGGTCACATATTACTGTTAATTGACATAAGAATAGACTATGTAGTGTATAAAGGGTACATTCATAACAATTAAATATAATGGTGAACATGCAGTTTTGATAGAAGGAAAAAGAAATGCATAAAGAATTTTTATAGAAAAATCTGTTCGATCAACCACTTGGACTGAAATGTGAGGGTAATAATAATGTGGTAATGTAGATTGCTCTGAACAAACTGACCTTGCACAGTTAACTCTGCACTGCAGGAGATCTTGCCAGTGGATGTGGAAGCCACACATGTGTACAAGCCAGCATCTTCAGGCTTCACATGCTGGAATACTAGTGCCAGCGAGTCTTCATCATCCTGTTAATTAAGAACAACTTAATGAAGAACAACTCAACATATCATAAAAACTTGAATCTTTCAGGGCTATTAAAAGTGATAACACCTTCATAGGTAATCAGTAGCATCAGTCTGGACACATTTCCTGATGATCAAGCCACAAAGTCTTCAAAACATCTGATTTCAGTACTAAATAGATGTTACTGTTTACCCAAGACAATGTAATAACTCAAAAAATCCATTTCCAAATATTATAAACAGTGACAAGTCTGGAAAGGTATAATTCACACCAAAATACATACATACAAGTATTCTTTGCAAATACTGATTTCTGAACACTCATAGCTGAAAACGTTTTCAAAGAAGATTTGTTAAGTGTAAGAAACTGATAAATACAATTCTAAGCTAGATCCAAAAAGCATAATATTCAAGCAAAATTGCATCCAAATCCATCCCAGCAATCCTTGAGCTAACTCACGTGGACAGACAGACAGACAGGATCAGCCCTGTATGTGTTAATTTCACACACAACATACAAAGAATGTGTAACTAGTTTCTTTCACTACTGATCATTCTCAATCTATATCATATAGTTAATGAATGCCCTTTCATCTCACCAAAATATCCAGCAATTATTAGTATTCTTAACAAGGAATCTTTCTAGCTTCTATTACCCTAACACTATTTCTGCAGCAATGAGAAATTAACCACAGCCATCAAACTTGTGAATAAAGTTAGGTTATTAACATCCATACTGTAATACAGAATAATCAATTTGAAGAAACAAATGAGTTATCATCCATAAGTGAGGTTCATATTAATTTTGTCTATTAGCTGTTCAGTTGGGCTCAGCCAGTCACATACCTGTACCTACACTGGATGGTATTGGTAAATATTCAAGTCATAAGTGTATTTTATTATTACCCTGCCTCTCTGTCATTAGATACCTTGAATAAGACTTTAAATCTTTCTTCTGGGTCAAAAGGTTGTCCATCTCGAAGCCACTGGAATTGTGCCTCTTCTCCAGGCTGCAGGAGACTTGAACCCAATCCTTTAAATATTTCCTTTTCATCTGAAATTACAAAGTAATGACAGTGGTTTGACTGTTGGTTACCATTACAACTTAGGAATTTTGAAGACCCAAGTGTTAGAATTGCAGTGTTCTTTGCTTCTTAGAAAAAACAAGTTTTGTCTTTATTACTTCCTGTGCTTAATTAACTCTTTGGATGCTATACACTCCTTTACAAAAGTACCCACTTCCATGACACCAGTGCTGCTACTGAAGTGTCCAAAACACAAACTTCCTTACTGCATAAATATTCAGTAACATAATATAATATCTGTGAGAAATTTATAGAACCATTTTATGGCCAGTTTAAAAACAGGATTATAAGTTGGCAATGGTAAACATGGCAGATGTAAATTGTGACAATGATAGTGTATACAGCACTATAGTGATGATAGTAAAGTTTATCAATCAGATTTACAATATAAGATAAGACAAAAATTAGACCTACATTAAAAATACAGAAAACAAAAGACCTAAAGTAGCAACAATAAAAAACTCAGTACAGTGCATTAGAAGGGTTTGTAAGAACACATACTATAAAGGGTTAGGTACTACATCAGAAAGGCTGAGCAGCAGATATAAGGTGAGTGATCATGTCCATGCTCGGGTTGGATTTCTAGGGACGCATCAGCAATTCTGCACATGGTTGTGAGGAAAGAAAAAGAGACTGTAATACAGCTTTTAAGGAAACCTACTAGTCAAACTTAGATCCTTCAAATACAGTGTATGAAATAAACACATGTATGAAAAGCAAATAAATTAGTGGGAATTCCAGCTACAACTACCATCAGTACCCCATTCCAAAATGCCTAAATAAATATAATCTCATAAACCAACTGGATGGAGAAACAGATGATAACCTCAATACTAAATGAAGTTGATGATGGCAATAATGATAATCATCAACTTACTTGTAACACTAACAGTGGCCTCACAGCTTACTTCTCCATACTCGTTTGTTGCAGTGCAGGAATACTTTCCAGCATCTTCAGGCAACACATCAGCTATCACTAGTTCATAGAATCCCTTCTCAGCCTTCTCAGTTACTACCTGTATCCTCTCATTGTTTGGAGATATCTGTTTGCCCTCCTTGAAGCTGAAACAAAATATAAAAATCTGAAGCTGTTGAAGTAACATGATACTCTCTAAACCAGTCTACCAGATATATTATATATGATGGGCATTCCAGTAATTTTCTTTATGTCCCAGTTTAGAATGTTTTAATACTCTGTCAATCAGCAAACATGACAGAATCTAATTTTCAGTTGAAAGCATTTACAGGAAAGATTTCATTACCCCCAATGACAAGTGATGGTGATGATTGCTAACAGAGGAGGAAAATTCTCATTTTGTTAGAGGCAAGGGTTACAGAAGGAATGAAGAAAACTCCAAGTGGATCTAGCAAGTTCTTGAATCTGAATACTTGTAGCATATGGAAATTTACAAACTCCACATCCACGATCTTGGAGAATATTCCAAATTCACAGAATTGCAATTCTCAGATGCAAAATGTCTTCATTATCAAACTACAAGTTTCCAGTATCTATCAAGCATCTATCTATCCACCCCTCAGTTAATGCAAGAGTTAGAACAGTGAGTAATGTCATCACAAATTATTTTTCAGTCCCACTCTGACAATCTACAGCTTTGGCCAGCCAATATGACCATAGGGAAGAAAACTACAAAACTCTGAGGAAAGGCAGATGTGTAACCTTTGTGGCCATTATCTGCCTTTAAAGTAGATGGGAAGGAGAAAGATTCATGGTTTTCTTCTGTTTCATCAAAAAAGTAAAGGACAGTATCTAGCCATTATTCATTATACATAATAAACTTTATAACTGTACCTGCTGCTAGCAAAATTAAAAATGTAAGGTTTTCAAATGAAACTAAATGTTTAAGAAAAACAGCAGAAGTAAATCTTATTTAACCATTCTAAAACAAACCCACATACACATAAACACATGTATCTGCTAATATGTGTATTTGTAATTGTAATATTTTGCATGGCACCTAAAGGTTAGAGACTATGCTCTCAAAATGCCACCTTTAGAGTTTATCCTGAACCATTTCATGCAGTTTATAACTTCATTATGTCTTTGCCTGAGATCCATTTTAATATTATTCTTCCATCTATGCTAAAGTATCAAATATGAACTGACATGAACAAATGACATGTGATACTCACAATTTCAGGGTAGGGTTCGGTTGACCCTTCACTTTTATCATGAAACGTAGGTATGTATTCTCCAATAGCTCTGTGTCTTTTAGTTTCACAACAAATAGTGGAGAATTTGCTTCTGATCGTCTCCTCTTCTCTTCCTCTGTCACTAGCACGTAAATAAATAACATTACAGAAACATTAACATATTTTCAACTATTTAATATATTTTTCTGTTCCTCAGAGCATGCGGCTTATCAATTTAATAATTTTAACAAAAGTGCAGATATGTTGTTTATATTTTGTCTTACATTAGTTAAAACTCAAATAACTATCCTTATAATATTTGTACAAGAGTTTAAATCAAATGTACTCATATTGTAATTTCTTTCATTTCCTCAATGGCTTCATTTCACTTGAGCACTGCAGATCCCAACTTTTTGTTGGCTTGATCTATAGACATTCGGTAGGACTCCTTGGACGAGGGATCGGCCCGTCACAAGGCCTCTACCTGTACACAGGACAGCACAACACAGAAAAACGCAGACAAACATCCATGGCTTGAGTGGGATTCGAACCCATGGTCCCTACAACCAAGAGGCACAAGGCCCATGCCTCAGACCACGCGGCCACTGCAGACCCCAATCATGTCTCACAAGCACCACAAAACAAATAGCAAAATACTGGTTTTATATATCACAGCCAATAGTTATTCAACCAACTAAGATATTCCTTGCTGTTATAGAAACTAAGATTCAACACTGCAGACTCTAACCTGAGCCAATTCAATCAAGTTTATAGCTTCATGTTATATCAATCATTATCATCCTTAGAATTGTCTACATCCGAAACTCTAGTTTAGGCTTATTTTATAGACCAGAGATAACTCTCAGTAAGTTGGAAATTAAATGAGAGTACTGTTTCTAGAATTTCAAGCCATGAATATATTGTACTTACATTCCTGCACTACAAGCTGCGCAGTGCAAGAGGCATTACCAATAACATTAGTTGCTCTGGCAGTGTAGACACCACTGTCAGACTCCCGACAATGTTGCAATTCCAGTTTAAACTTGCTGTTATCATCCTGAGATGAAATTAACACACGGTCTGCTAATTTGTCTTCCATTAGTCTGTTGTCTTTCAGCCACGTCATTGATGTTGGTGTATCAGATGCAACTTCACACTCAAATATGGCATTGTGACCCGCTGTGAAAGGAAGGTCGTACCAATTAAAAACAGCAATCATGATCTGAAATTTTATCCCACATTCTGGTCTATGCACAACAGTAACTGTATGCTAGGCACTGAACCCAAAAGGAATAAATGTCTTGATATTCCACTGTATGCATGAATTAGGAAATTCAACACATTTGTTCAATTAAATTAAATGTAAATACTTCTTTCCATGAAAACTTCACGGATGTAGATACAGACAAACGATAGTAGATGGAACTGTAGTCCACTACAGATCACAAACCTGTCATTGCAGGTGTAATGTAACCTACTTACGTTCCAAGTTGCTGCCTTCAATGGTCTTTGTAAACACTGGCCGACCATCAGCCAATGTGGAATGAGTCAGTTTGAACACATTTGAGACTCCATCTGTCTCCACAGATTCAGATTGGACAGAACTTGATTCAAACCTCACATTCTTTGATGCAGATGAAGACATTAGAGCGTTGGATGATTCCATGTAGACTTCTTCACTTGAAAACTCTAAAGAGACAGATATAGGAAGTGAAACCACATCATGCACACAAAGAGGAGAAGAGACATACACTTCAAAGACAGAGACAGAATGGAGCAGCAGCAACAGATATTTATTTCCACCTTTCAAGTTGAACATTGAATGAAAATCTAATTAGCAGCAAGAGAAAGTTCTAAGTGCAGAAAAGCAATGTAAGTATACAAAAGAAAAGAATAAAATGAAGTCAACACATTTTCTGCAAAAAATTGTATTAATATACTCTGTTGCAAATACTTCAATAACAGTTAGATGTAGTATTCAACTGTCTTAGCTGCTCTACAGCTTAAGAATACTGCAACAATGAGCAATGCCCCCATGAAATACACAAACTTAGCATACACTTCTTTGTATTATTGGTGTCATGAAATAGGTATAAGCCCTTTCATAACAACTTAGTAACACCCTTTCTGTGTCACATATATCTTTACACTGTTTGTATGTCAGCAATGAAGTTTACTAATCTTGGCTTAACTTGTCCCACAAGTGAATAAAAACAGATGTTATTTATCAGTTTTGCCCATTGACAGCAGGTGTAGATCTCAACTGACTAAAATACTGCAATGATTCAAGTCTCAAAGAATAGCTGGAAACTTTTCTCAATGGCAAATTCACAAAACTAAGAAGTGCGGCTAAATATTTCCAAGGGGCACAGTCAATAGCAAACGGAACTGCAAACTACTAAGATTCCAACAGACAAGTGTACAGTACCTTGTACAGATTTCATTGATGAAAAATATGCCATAGCTGTGTCACTTTCCCTCTCGTTAACCTACATACAAAAGAAACAGCTTATTACTATCTCTCAGAGCTAATAATCTGCTGAGATAATCAAAAATATTTACATGTTTTGTGTGTGTGTTTGTACTCTCAGAATTAAGCAATTTGTCAGTTGCTATTTCTTTCAGTACAAACTGCATCTCTTGTTGGAAAACACTAACCTTGACTTTCTTTTGTGCAGGCTGCGAAGCAGTTGAGACAGATACTACTGTTTTCTCTTCCTCCTCCTTTGATGGTTCTGGTTTCTTCTCAGAAATTTCAAGTGCAGTTTCTAGGTTGTTTTCAGGGAATCTGATTTTTGCCTCTGTTTTCTTTTCAGGATCCTTGATTTCAGACTCTGCTTTCTTGTCAGGAGACTTTATTTCTGGCTGTAGTTTCTTTTCAGATTTGATTTCTGATTCTGCTTTCTTTTCAGGAGATTTGATTTCTGTCTGTGATTTCGTTTCAGAAACCTTGATTTCAAGGTCTACTTTTTCAGGAGTTTTGATTTCAGGCTCTACTTTTTCAGTAGCTTTGATTTCAGTCTCTCTTTTCTTGTCAGGAGACTTTATTTCTAGCTGCAGTTCTTTTTCAGACTTGATTTCTGATTCTGCTTTTTTTTCAAGAGATTTGCTTTCAGGCTCTACTTTTTCAGGAGCTTTGATTTCAGTCTCTGCTTTCTTGTCAGGAGACTTTATTTCTGGCTGCAGTTTCTTTTCAGATTTGATTTCTGATTCTGCTTTCTTTTCAAGAGTTTTGATTTCAGGCTTGTCTTTTTCAGGAACTTTGATTTCAGTCTCTGCTTTTTCAGGAGCCTTGACTTCTGAGTCTGTTTTTACAGGAGCTTTGGTTTCAGACTCTAGATTCTCTTCAGGAGCCTTGACTTCAAGCTCTAGTTTCTTTTCAAGAACCTTGCTTTCATGCTCTGCTGTTGTTTCAGAAAACTTTATTTCTGTCTCTGATTTCCTTTTAAGAGACTTGCTTTCAGACTCTGGCTTCTTGTTTTCAGGCTCTGGAAATGTTTCAAGAACCTTGATTTCTACCTCTGGTTTCTTGATCTCTGGCTTCTTTTCAAGAGTCTTGATTTCAGGCTCTAGTTTGTCTTCAGGAACCTTGATTTCTTGTAAAGGAGAACTGATTATAGCCTCTGCTTTTTCAGGAACCTTGATTTCTAACTCTGGTTTCGTTTCAAGAGTCCTGAGTTCTTTCTTTTCAGGAACTTTCCTTCCTACTTGTGCTATCTTATCAGATTCCTGTAAAAGAATCAAGAGTTGGTAGATTTGTTTGTTCAGCCTTCAAAATAAATGTTAAATAGTGTATACAAAGGATAATTTCCCTTAAATAAATGTAGATTTCTCTTATGAATAGAATTGTATTTTTATGTGTTCTTTGAATAAAGTGCATAAAATTAAGAAATGATAATGCATGTTTCATATCCAAATAAATGGTTTAACACTTTTATATTTAGTTGCATAAAACTATTGCCAAAAGTTCCAACAGCATAATTTCATTTAATTTGCTAATGGATTATGGCAAATATTCAGGATTTTCTTTAACAATAACATTTTCACATCTGAAAAACTATACAGACATTCAACTCAGTAAGCCATGAAATCCAATTACATAACCATAAACTGCATCTAAAATGTGGGTATGTGCACTGCAATATCTGCTGCAGTTTTACAGAATTTCCAGGTTTAAAAATAAATTACCTGTTGTGGCTCTAGGCCATTTAGAATCTTTGCTGGCTCTGTTGAAAACTCTTTCTTCTCACAAGCTTCCTCTTGTGGTTTTATTAATAGTTGTACCTATTTAAATACAACATACAACATATTACAAACTACTGCATAATGTAAGCATGAATTAACCAACAATAATCCAGACTGAAGAGTAGAGTTTGAGACAAGGATGCTATGAACATGATTATATGATCATACCAAGAAACTCTATAATGGCCTAGCCTCTTAATACTCCCTTACACACTGTAAATCTGTAAGGCACTAGTTCATGTGAACTTGTATGATTATTTCTGGCATACTTTTCCTTATTTTAGAAAGACAGACTTGTGGTATCATCATGTTTATATGTGTGTATATTCTATATATATACATATTTCCAAACTTTCCAAAATTGTTCCTGTGTGGCTGGTAACAAAAGATTAGTACAATGACTAATTTAATAAATGCATTATGTTTCATATTCGGGGCCACTAATTAAGGTGCATTATTTCCTAACACATTGTAGGAGTAAGTCAAAATGTGTACCAATCTGATCTACATTCAACAGTTTAGACAAAAAAGTTTTGTTCAAATTTGAAGCTATGAATTAATGATAAACAGATTTCTATATGATAATAATTAAGGGTGTTGTTGCAGGACAGAGCCAAACAAAAGACTGTGTAAGTCTTACAACCAAAAAACTCAATTGTACGAGGCAGTAGGTAAAGATATGGCATTCCTATAGTAACCACAATACCATGCAGGCATTTATGTTCCCTGAACTGTAGATATAAACAAGTATATGTTGGTGGGGTGAACTAGTCAGTGATATAGTCAATTCTTGATCCCTTTTTGACTTAATAGTACCAAATTAAAATATGATTACAAGGAAGAATACCTTTGCTGTTTCTTGGGGTGGAGGTGTAGTAGGTTCTGACTTGTCCTCGTTGTTACCTAGTGGACTTTGGAGACGAAGATCATCTGCAGCATGTTCTGCAAGAGCAACTGAAAAAGAACATGTTTTCGGTTCGTAAATTTCAATATAAAAATTACAGTGTCTGATTATAGCCTTTTTCCTTTACCCACTGCTACTTAGTTGTAATAAATATTCAAAATAGGTGAACAGAAATTCAGACACAATTTTACTTACTCAGATTTGATGCATACTGTCGGATCTCCTTAAGCCAGGCTGGTTTCAAGGTATCAGAATGTGCCTTGATAGTGAGAGGATAATGACCAAATCCAGGAACTATATGATGGAGCTCAAATGTGTAGGGACTGTCCTTGTTATCATTCACCTCAACCTCAGGTAACTTGTAAGAAAAATTGTAATAATGTTAGTGCTTAAAGTAGATCAACCAGATTCAAATGAAAAAAGATAGTTCCAGGAGAAATATAAACAAGTTTGGTTCAAACATTTTTGGTACTTTTTATGTATACACAGAAAAACTTCCATATACCAAAACCCAAGGAAAACTTTCTTTTGCACTCATCTAAAAAATTTCCGAAAACCCACCCCGAGATGTGTACTTTCCCTATCTTTTATCTCATTTTGTAAGAGTTCTTTTTAAACAGGTTTATGAAGACAACAAATAAAATTAATAATAAATCCATACAGTCACCACATCCTGCACTCACCCACTAAATTACACATGTCTCCATTTCAAACAATTAAATTATTTCTGTATATCATATATATAAATGGAATATAAATTTTTCCATCCTAAAACAAATTTTTGCTTTCATTAAGTGCTGAAGACAAGAAGATAATCAAACTCCATGATAAGGCTACTTACACGGATAATGTCCTTGAGCACAAAGATTGACCGATCATCTGAGATGCGACGGACCTTACAGATAAGAATCCGGGCTTTGAACAGAAAAAGGTACCTTTCCTTGCACTTTCCGTCTCTGTCTGATACTGTAAACCAATCCTGAAATCAAAATACACAAATTACGTACGCAAAAGCCAAATAATTTAATGCATGGTACTGGTAGGAAAATGGTAACTTCAGGTCTTCACTGTGACAGACAGCGGGTAAACCCTTTTCAAAAAAACAAGATATCAAGAAATATAGATAACATCACAAATCTCTTAATAAATACATTTTATACAGAAACAACATTTTGAAAGAAAACGCTCTGATAGGATCACAGAATATTATAAAATATCAATCCTGAAGAAGGTCTCTATAAAATGAAAATGAAATGTACTGTTATATAAGAGGGTGATTTGGTCTAATACTGAGGAGGACAATACTTATGATGAATGATACTTCACACCCATAGTTAGATTCATCAATTTGTAACACCAGAATCTCCCGGAAGAAACCTATAACTATGTATGATCTTGAGCTTTCACTGCGACTGTGTACAATAAAATCCTCTCGGGCTATCAGCCGCGTCAAATGAAGAGACCAACGTTTCGAGGTCCATTTCTGTCCTCGTCCTCAGGGTACTGAAGTGGTTGGGGCTTTTTTCTCAACTGTGTCATATATATACCTGCTCCGGCCCCGTGTGACTGGCGGATGACATCACGAACTCGCCTTGTTATGCACGACTTGCCGGTTAGACAACATCAGTTGAGGCCAGATGTAAAGAACATATGAGACATGTACGTCTCAAACAGCGGGATAAGTCGGCGGTAGCAGAACACAACTTCAACACAGGACACCATATCGACTTTAGCGGTACTTCAGTATTGGATAAGGCAACAGGCTACATTGACCGCATCGTGAAATTCGATTGAACACCGCAAATATCAACAGAGACGGAGGTTTTATGGCCGGGCCTGGTATCCTGTGTTGAATGTTGTCTAACCGGCAAGCCGAGCTTAACAAGGCGAGTTCGTGACGTCATGCACCAGTCACTTCAGTACCGTGAGGACGAGTATAGAGATGGACCTCGAAACATTGGTCTCTTCATGTTTTAACAACTTGACGCGGCTGATAGCCCGAGAGAATTTTATTGTAACCTATAACTAATTCAACAATGTTTTTGTTAAATACAAAATGTACTTACGTGTCGTAATAATCGACCTAACTTGTGGATGTTACCGTGATAACCCTCAATGCTAGATATGAACTTGATATCGTTGGCCCGGTGGGGCACTCCAAGCATTAACTCTAGAGCCTTCTGAAGATCACTGGTGTCTTCACCAAGCCGAGAGGAGTACTTTACCAACTCCTGAGAACCAAAATAATACATCGCCTATGGTAACAACGTTTAAAGATGACATTTATATAATACACACTATGTCTTATTCTGTATTGCCACTTAAACAATCAGCAAGGAGTGACTATCATTGTAACCCTTCAAAATAAAAATGTTCTACATGTTAAAACTTGGCTTAACACCTGTACATGCAATACAGCCTTCTAAGCCCAAGCGAAGGAGTAAAAATAAATGAAGCTGGGATGAACCCAATCACATCACCTGAATGCTTGACTTTCTTAACTTCAGTTCTGATAAACAATATGCACAGACAGATGAGAGTGATTTTGTATTACTGGGCTTAATGATGAAATATCTTACAATGTACAAGACTAAAAGAACTCCAGTAGACCAAATGTGACCCATGGGCTGAAGTTTACCAAAATGAGCCAGCCCTTTACACTGCAAAATTTCCAATGGCAATCCAAATTGAAAACTTCAATGAACATGTATCTTTGGAAACACTTGCATGCACTATACTTGTGGTTGCAATGCAGTACATAAGTAGGTCACATTTCACAAAATGTGCTCCAGATTTTTACTATAAAAACAAGCTAGCTGTGGAGAAAAAGTTTCTGGACTGCTTCCAAGAGAAGTCATTACTTGGTTTTCTCTACTTTGAGCCATTAGATGGTTCCTCCTAGACAGATTTCTTCACCAGAAATGTTTTGCTTGGGATCACTGCCAAGTGAACAGGAAAACATACATTGTAAAGTAAGGGTTGTCCAAACTGACTGTGGGTGGAATGTCTCATTAAGTGATCCCCAATTCTAAAGTTTTCACTATAGAAGGCAAATATATGAGGCCTTAACAAATTATTACTGGTTTATTTTTCTGTGCCTTCATTCTGTGAGTTTTTAAAGTTTAAAATTCTGCTTTTAGATTCAGACTCTTGTAACTATTACATAAATAACTATTTCTTTCAGTACTAGATACTGAGTTAGTCAATTCCCTATTAAAGTTGTTCCATCTGTCCATCTATCTATATGTATGAAACAACTTGATAATGGCAAAACAGATTTCCATTATATTTTGTACTGGGGAATTTTATTAAAATGTGTTAATATATTTCAGTTTTGGTTACAAGTGGACAACAGTAATGAGCACTTACATGAAAACTCCTGTGCATTTCTGTACACCAAAGTGACTGGATGGAGAATCAACAGTCTAGCTTAGTCACTTTGCTTACTATGGTTATTTTGGTTAAAGGTTACAAGCAAAATTCTGGAAAATGTATTAAAATTGGTGCATGCACATACTATCTAATTTTTCTGAGAATGACAGTGATAACAGGTGTTTTCCAACCTTTTAGCCCATTGCCCAATCCCAAGTTGGAGAACCACAACTGATGCCCTGTCCATGACTGCTTACTCAATGTATTAACAGCTACTCTCTACAAACAGACACAATTCTTTTGTGACAATTTACTTCTATTTGCTGTAAATAAATGTATCAGTAAATACAGCCTGTGCTGCAACTTCATGGAGAATAAATTATGACGATGCTCTGCCTACATTTAATAGTCTTCTTATTTCAGCTCCAAGAAGACATCTACCCAAGACCAAGCAAATCAACCAAAACCATGCCAGGTTAATGTTATTTAATTTTATTTTATAGACTACTTAATGACACAATCAGTGGCAAAGCAAATATAGCTTTGAAAGATAGGCTCAATAAATAATGGATTGGTAATGATGTGGAAGAAAACATTCATGGTCTAAATTGAAGTACTATCCTAGTATTTGCCTGCAGGGACTGAGGAAACCCATGAAAACCTCAATCTAGATGTCTGGTCTCTGGATTGAGATTTGCACCCATTACCTACAAATATGAGCTGATAACCAGACAGCTGCAATGTTCAGTGTTTATTGTTGAGACTGATGTTAATGTTCATTAGATAAATTTAGAATTTTTTACACTGAGGACATGAAACTTTTCTTTCTGTATTAGGAAAGAACAGCACTAACCTTAAGCAGGAGCTGGTAATCATTAATGCGTTGTATTGGAAGTTTGAGATGTTCAGACAGACTCTTGTCGTCACCAAGCTGTTGGCTGTGCTCCTGAAACAAAATTAATGAGGTAAGAATGACATCAAGGTAACCATATAGAAACATCAGTAGTAACATACATGTAAAGTGGTACAATCTCATTCTAATTACATCATGATACCTACCAATTTCATAAACAGTAAACCATTAAAAAAAAGACATATAACTTCCCAATAAGGAATAAGTTCATTATTTCTTCTTGAAATAAGTATCTTTTTCAACCAATTTTACCAATAACAGTAAAAACTGTGCTATACCTATTCCCAACAGCTTACTAGACATATGATAACTCTTCTGCTCTATTTCTTTATGATGCTCAATCATCATTTCCCTATCTCCTGTCTTCATGCCCATCATCAACTTTGGCTTTATCATCAACAATTATCAACAAAAATCTTCCATTCTTGTCAGTAAACTTCTACAATTTTAACTACATGGTGCAGCAACCCAGAGTTCTTCAACGAATTAAACAATTCTCTAGATGCGAAGTACTTCCACCACTTTCTCAGTACCCTGTGACAAAAAGTCTCTCCATGACTTTCTCTTGGTGTGTATAACAAAAATTTGAGAAAATTCTAAATCACAGGTAAACACTTGAAAATTGCAGGAATTGCGTATGTGAAGAAAGGCAGTATTCAGAGCTCAATTCAGCAGTACCCCATTTAGATTTATGGGGGAGTGAAGGTATAGTTCTGCACATTCTAACCTCAGCACTAATTGGAGGTAATGATCAGCTTCAGGCACTGACTGCTTTACTCCCAGTGAAAGTGCTTCCAGTACCCACTGGGTAGGAGCCTGAATGGGTCCCAACACAGATCTCGACACGTTGGCGAACAGATGAGGAGCTCTATATAGATTTCAGCAACCAAACTTTTTTTTAAATATCAAAAAAGTTAAATCTCTGAGGTTCAACTATGCTGACAACTAAGCCCACCGTTGAAAACTACCTTGAGAAATTTAAAATAATTTTGCATAAATACATTTCCCTAAAATCAATTTTAAATTTATCTCCCCACCTCCTTCTTGGTCTTCCAAGAGATTTCTTTAAAAGGTCTTTCATGAGTGATTTGATTTCAGACTTACAATTTTATGTTCTTCCTCAAAGCATGACATCACGCTTTATAACCACGCTTAAAACATAAAGATATTCCTGACTAAATCTCCTCAAATTTCATTGTTTTTAATAACACTTTCTTCTGCCTGGCAACTGTTTTGATTGCAGTTGAAAGTCAAGGGCTCTGTGATAAAGTGTCAGTTCAGCTTTCCATTCACTATGACACAACCTTGGAATCACTTCTTTTGTTTTAAAAAAACATTTCAGTAATTATTTAATGTGATTATGAGAGGTGGCAAATGTTTTAAAACTAAATTCTCAGAAAAACATTTGCATCTAATAAAGACGATGTGCAAGAAGGATATTATAAAACAGAATTTCTTTATTTAGACATGGACGGTTCAGAATCAAATGAGTGCAAATCAGGAACCTTTTCAGTTTCTGGATTATAACACATTTTAATTAATTTCCAACAATTTTATGTCAAAAAATTAAGTTACAAGCGACATTTTCATAAAATATAGACTGTACTTAACTGTGATGTTAATTTCAGACTGCTAAAATAATAAACCCTTTAGTTTCTTTGTAATCGGTTTAATGATCTCCACTCACTGGTTTCTGAACTGTCAACGTGTTACCTATAATTATCAGCGTGGCCAAAACCATTTCTGTGCTGTATATGTACCTGAGGTAAATAAGACGAGACATTTATAAAATATACTTATGACGAAACTGCTTGGAATTTAGTCACTTCGAGGGCCAATAAATCGATAAAATGTAACATTAGGATTAACCTTAGGGAAGCAAACTTTGAGAACATGAATTAGACGAGGCTGGGTTATGCCATGTAGTCTGGTAGTTTGCCGACGTCGGTAAACTTCTACCCGATTACACGGTACAGCAACCCAGAAGAAAGCCTCTTCATACGCGCCACCGAGAGACTCTCAAATCTCATTTAGACGAGGCTTATTCACGATCATTTTCAATGAACAGTTTGGAAGTAATGTTATTGAACCAGTGGGTTCTGTTAACATAAAGTTAACTGTTACTTGACTAAAAATAACAACCGTCAATTTCAAAATAACTTAATGTGTGAATACTGATTCAGAGCCCGGGAACACGCCAGTAAAGCAATGCTATTTGTATGAAATCATAAAGCTTTAGTCTTCAGACTCTAGAAGTTGTTCTAGAGTTGGCGCACGAGTTTTTGAACACTAGAGACATGTTCTTGAAACTACGGTAATAAAAGCTGTCATTGTCCACACCGAATCCAGAACGTGACATCCGACTGCTGATGAATCAGTCACATGATGTCACTCTGAGCAAAAAAAAATTGCATGACGTGAAAACAAAAGTGGAGCGTCCGTTTGAATCACGAATTATTTGTGGCACCGTGCGAGTTATTGGTCGGCTAGCCATACAATGCAGTTCATTCACGACTAGAATAGTTAACAACCTTTTAGTGATCTGTAACAACACAAATTAACCATCGCTTTCAAGTAACTAAACAATGAACAAAAAAACCAGAAGTCGTTACCATTTATCTGAGCAGAACCATCTCAGTTGTTATCAACTTGTAGAAAAGAACTTGAAATCTACAATTGCAATAAAAGGGAGTTCACAACCGCACAGGTTTCTCCAGAAGAATGGATTCCTTACAGACAGCAAAATAAGACGCTTAAATGTGTTAAAGGGGTCAGCACACAACGTTAGACCTGTAGAAAAATCCGTACTGGGTGGAAAGATTTCGAGAGACAAGATTTTCATTTAGAGATTCCTTCAGTAACACTTAGCACAAGTGAATTTAATACTTTATTATTTTATTCATCAGTCAAACCGAGGATCTGTCTGTCCGTGTGTCTGCGGGTTCCAATTGTCAGTCAAGCACAAGAACTCCTTCCTACCTGTTAGTTGTATGAAGGTGTAGAATGTCCAGGGCTACTTCCAACACTCGGTCTCATTCGGCCACGACTAACTGCACACAAGTTCTGGGCGGACCAACGAGAGGCTAAACATAGATCGTGAAGAGTGCCAACATCGGATGTCCACCAAAACCACGACATTCGGTACATCGCACTTTAACGTTATAACGCCAGGCAACACACGAGCAACACTCAAAACACTGAAGATCAGAACACAACTAAAATATGTTTGGCATATCCATTTAAAATCTTGCGAGATTTCAATTTCTCACGACGGCAACTACGAGGATAATCGTCTTCTGCGATGATCTCAAAGAAGATGACCGACAATACAGACGTACCTACTGTTTCAATGAGACCCTGAAATCTCACTTAGTAAACTCTGCCCTGATGATGATGGCAGTAAGCACCTCTGAAACGATTTCTCCAATATTAAAATTAACTGAAATCGGGTTATCAGTTCTCACAGCATGATATCAAAGCCTAGCAGGTTAAGAACCAGTGAAGAGTCTTTTATTTCCAGGTTTTGTTCCGGTTATGTGGGTGACTATAACATTCTATTTATGTTATGCATATAAGACGTAACGAAGTTAGTACATATCAAGCAAAGTTAATTGGTTTACAAGGGTTTGAGACACTCTACACCCTAATGACTCTAATCTGAAACTAATGAGCAAACGAATTGGCCACTAGATATGTACGCATTGCGACTGCAGCACCACTAACACAAATATGCGGCTGCTAAGATTTGGTCTCCAGTTAATTTCAGGCGTATTCAGCACCAAAATAACATGTGATTGCTGTGTATTTGCAATAGGGTCTGTGACGTTAGAAGTATGAATGAGTTCAGAGCTGCAGAGCTCTGCAGCCAAACCAATAAACAGACGCCTCATTTCTTTACTCGGTCATCACACTGTTTGCCAAAATAATAATAACTACGTGCTTGTCGATCTCATATCTTCGGTCTCACACTAAATCCCAAATGTATGGAGTTTTATTTCTTCCTCCAACACTCAACACATGGCGCCTAAAACATGCGCAATTTTTCCTTTCTTTACACAATTATCTATTCATCACTAAATATTATCATTATTATCAAATGACCAACGGTGAGATAAGCGGGAAATGTAGCATGCACGGGGGATATAGGTCAAATGACCAACGGTGAGATAAGCGGGGAATGTAGCATGCACGGGGGATATAAGAAATCATACAAAATGTACGATCAAGTGCGAATTTCTTTCTGCGCAGATAACCTTCTAAACTAACCTAACCTAACCCAATTTATCGTAAATCAGGGCTGCCAACGCAATAGTCACTGACGTAATTAGGATCGAATTTTTTATCAAGAGAATGGATGAACGAACATTCTTGGAATTTTGCATGGATGTTGTACCACGTCAAATTCCATTTAAAACTCAATCAGAATCGATTTTACACATCATGATCTAGTACTTTGTTGCCAATAACTGTCAGGAAATCTCGGTCATTTTGCTTTTGAAGTGTGAATGGAGGAGACGACGTCGAAGACCTAGGCGTAGAAGAGAGAATATGAAACTTGATTTAGGCGAAATAGCCCTGGAGGGTGTGAACTGGATTCGTCTAGCTAAGTGGATGTATTGGTGGTGTGTGGCGCCTTCATGAACACGAGTGCACTATTTGGTCTTTAACAAGTGACTCTGTTCCATGGAGTTAGTTCGTCAGTATTTAGTAAGTTTAAAAAAATTATCATACTTGTAATGAGTTACTTGAATCCTGTTTAAGGACCACAACAGTATGACCTCCATTAACACACGGATTTTTATGAGAATTTAAAAGTGCTTGTATAGGTGTATTGTTTTGAGGTATCGAGAGTAGGTTATCGAAATTTACTGCTGAGAAATTCCGTTTCGTATTCGGCGAGTTCTTAAATCAAATATTAACCCAGAGACGCCTAATTTAAGGTTTTTCTTGGTTCCCTAGGCCTTGACCGTTTCCTTCATATTCTTTACAATTCGTTATTCATTAAGTGTGCTACCATTCGACGCTATATAGTCTAAGCTACGGGCAACGTCGTTAAATAAGCCATAAAGGGACAAGTGGGAATTATTACTACATATTAGACACTCGTCTTATTTGCGAGAAAGAAGATTTGAAAGTTACTAAATGACCTAAACAAACTGAAAATGAGCCAAATAATTCGAGAATTATTCATATGTTGGCAACCACAAAATCAACATACCCACAAATATAAATACACACCATGCTAATGCGCCAAATATAGCAGACCCACCTGATTCTCACTCAGGGGTGGCCTGAACACGATTGCATCCGATTCTCTAAAGGAGTGTGGCAAAGACTGATTCATTATACCGGTACGATGTTTGACACGTGCCCATTGTCTAAGGCATGTTAGATTTACGGGCACTCGACGTTTCGAGTGTAGGCTCTACCCCCGTCTTCAGATGACTGGTAGTCATATACTAACAGAAATGTATTGCCTTTTATTTTTAAAATTAGTAGCTACGGTTCGGAGACATTAGAATCTGAAATCTTACAAACTGTTCAACGTTTTTTAAGGTGCCTACGTTGAAAACCGTCAGAGAGAGAACAAACACTTCAGTGTGTGGTGTGTCACCTAACGGAACATTGCAGGCGCAAGGTTGAGCGACGTAATTCTGCCACGTCATAGTTCTGCCTGTTCGCTCTTATTGGAAACAGCGATGCTGACCGCTGACGGGAATCGTAATTCTGCCACGTCATAGTTCTGCCTGCTCGCTCTTATCGGAAACAGCGATGCTGACCGCTGACTGGAATCTTACCATAATCAATGTCGATGTGGTGATTCGACACAGAGAAGAGACATAGGTAACGGATGGGCAACAACCATTTCACTTTCCCTTCAACAAATCTTTCGAATCCACGAATATCATCCACCCTAAATAAAATCTGTAGCTGATATAGCGCCTGCTTACGATGACAATACAAACCGAGCGGACAGCAAATGGAGTCGCCGTTCTTACCGACTGAGCACGCTCGAAATAGCGTGCTCCACATTTAGAGCTCCTGTGTGTATCCTCAGGTTTCGACGAACGCACTCTGCACACGATAAAATGGCCTTAAAGACATGTCTAATTTTAAATGATGACCAATGTTTATCACCGGCTGAAGAGTATATTTCCATATTCTGTTTAAACGTACTGAAGTTACTGAAGTGTATATGGCGATTCAACATGTAAGCTGAGACAGTTATTATACAACTTAAAAGTTAAGGAGCTAAGGTAATTTGTGTAACAACAAAAAAGTAAAAGTACGTCACTTAATTTGAGGTTTCTGAAATTTAAAAATACTAATAGCACTGTTTATTATTATTTATATTATCATTCTTTCGTACTTATTATTTAATATATGCGTGTAAGGATAATTAAAATCCAATTTTTAACCTCAGATAGCAAAAATTGAATATTTCATCATTTCCTTCACATATATTAATGACAAATGATTAGGAATTCCGAAGAGAATAAAACATACGATACATAATTTTGTCCCCAGCTACTGAAACTAAATTTTTACAGCAAACTTTGTTAAATTGAAGGTAAATTCACAAATTCGGATGATTTAATTATTCTGCGTATGGCATAAATCAAGACATGGACAGAAATATCGTAAAATTCAATTAAACCACTGATTACATAGTGAAATACTTTAAACATCAAAGTAGCGACTGCATGATCAGTGTCACTTGTATCTGACCGTCTGCATCGGACGCAACGCCTGCGCCATAGCGAGGAAGTACTTGCTGTTCCTGAAGACTTTAACCTTGAAACAGACCTAAGTATAGGAACCGGTCACATTCCAATTTGTGCACAGATAACACTGATTTAAGTGTCACAAATGTACCAGTGAAAGCTCAGAAAACAGGTAGAAACAACCCGACAAAAATAACTAAATTTCAATATAGTCTTTAATTTTTATTTGGGTTTTTGTTGTATAAAAATATAGTATTTCTCTTGAAAATGGTTAACATCAGAGGCACTCTGCTAGTTACTGATAAACAATGTTTGTTGTTATAAAAATATCAAACGGAATTTTCGGTTTACAATTCCGCTGATGTAATTCTGAGGTACAAAACTGCGCCCTGTCCACACATTGGACAGGACATTCTGACTCATTTGGCAGAGCCAACACATAAATCGACAGATAATTTTAGCCACTCGGATCGCTTTATTAACACGGATTCTTACCACAATCTGGCACGCACACTATCTCAAGCAGCTATGTTTGTGCTTCAGTTCTTTAGCTTTTAGATCGTAAAATAAGACGCATTTGTGCCCCCGCCAGTTATTTATATGTATTACATAAATTCCTATGATTCTATCGGTACAATGGCCTCTGTTTGCTTCTTTAAATAACCCTTTTGTTTTCCGAATTTTTATTTATAGGCCTACAAGGTGGTCACACTATAAAAGTGCAAGTGTTTTCATGTGATAAATATTATTAACAATAATACTACAAAATCAAACTTGACTTTAGAAAGGCACCTCTTTTTTTCAATTTTTATTCCAACATCAAAATTCACAAACTGATAAGTCGGCCCTGGATACTGCCTACTGTTTCCTGTGATATTAAATTATTTTAACTTTGTGTCTTCCTTACTCTTTCAACTTCAGTCGTCCATTCCATGTGAATTTAATACAAAATGGCCTCAGGCACGAAGTAGCAAGCTTTCAAAGCTTCATTCTTGTGTTTACACAACTCAAGAATAATCAATATTTTAATTTAAAAAGATTTATTGGTTTTTCCCTGTGGCTGATTATTAGTTTTGCTACTGCATTATTTACGTGGCGTCAAAAATAAGACATAATAATTACGAATAAGACAAAATATCGGCACTCCTTTTGTCAAGTCCGGCTGACCAGCAAAGCAGAAGTGCCCTTCATGACAGCGTTTTTATTAAAATAATTTAACCTTTTGAAGCAAAGTCTCAAAATCAGTGAGCCTTCAGCACAGCACGTGAATTTTATGTGTAAAAGAACTGATTAAGCATGAAGTATGTGGCTATAAGCTTGACCATTGTGGTTAAATTCCTTGCAAGGCAGGATTTTTCTCTTAGCCAACATATCCAGACCAACTCTTGATTTCAGCCAGCATCCTAGCCATTGAATACTGGGGACTCATTTCCTGTGTCTAAAATGGCTAGAATAACCTCCATTTGCTGTCCAAGCTAAGAATGCGTAAAGCTTTTCCTTTCACTCTACCTATGCATCTTAATGTCATGTTTCTTAGGCTCAGTGACAAGGTTAACTTACGTTTTACGTGCATTCTATAAATATGTATGACTTCCAGTAAATTAGTGAGACATGCCAAGCAATTTATTTAGGCCCTAAAGTTATGTGAATCTTAGAAGGAATTAAATTGAATGAAACTTTCCATTTTAATTTTTCTTCAAAAGAAGTATTGTACATCAGTTTTCAACAACTTGTCAATTTACAACATATATGTAATCAGTTAATTCCCGTTATCAAGTGACATTAGAGACGAAAGAAACTAAACAAAAAAACAGCATAATTCTACCACACAGAGTTTTATCCAAATGAGAACAATACGGATGCTGTTATGCATGAGAATTATTGTTATTCCCGCTTTCTGTTCATTTTTGCTAAAGTTCAACAACTTGTGAGAGAAATACTTCAAATACTACAAAATGGTAGCTCAGTCAGTATAGTGACTAGCTACGGGCTGGACTGGGGTTCGATCCCTGGCGGGGGCAAATAATTTTTCCTCTAGCCTCTGTGTCCAGACCGGCTCTGGGGCCCACCCAGCCTCCTATCCAATGGGTACCAGGGTCCTTTCCCGGGCATAAAGCACGGCCGGGGCGTGATGCTGACCACTCACCCCCATCTAGTGGAGGTCAAGGAAGAGAGGAGCTATACCTCCACTCCCCCCAAGTGCCTATATGGCGTATAGTAAAACAGCTTTACTATAAAATGTAATAATAACATATCAGCCTGGTGCCAAAGGTCAAATTTTGGTGACCACACCAGAATTGCTGTGTTATGATTGCACTATGTGACTTGTTTATCTCGTTCTCTGTGTGCTTCAGAATACCCATATTTCTTTAAGAAACTATTACACTTTAATTTTAAAAGTATCTGTCATCACATTTATACTTCTACATAAGGAATAACAAGTGATACAGCAGTATAAGGGTTAATACTGGTACTGTCTTTCTGCAAATCTCTACCGTTCAACTTGGTCTGCAGCCAAACACTACACATGGGAAGAAAAGGCTTACCTCAAAGTAGTCCCTCACTGCATCATTCCCCTGCAGAAACTCTTGTGCTAATGGTTCATCCCGACAGTATGCTACGTGCTTATCAAAGTCTCGCTCCTATAACATAAACATTAAATGCTGGGCTAATAAAAATATTTGATATTTGGATACTACATTGTATCCTGGCGGTTAAATACTTAATTTCAAACTCAGCCTTTTTATTTGAAGCCCCTTCCTCCATTCTGAGAGGATATACCCAGTATTCTTCCTGAGTTAAATGAACATTAGGAACAGAAAGATGTTAAGAGAACGTAAACTTGAATTCAGCAACATGCATTTAATTCTCTGTACCACATTATGTTACAAGAAATGTAGGTTAATAACACAAAGGTGCCTACTGTAGCACAAGCTCAATACAACATGTTCAATCAGAAAATTCAACTTGATGCTTTATGATAAAAAGTTCTAATGAGAAGTTGATTTTAACGAGTCCCAATTTTTATTACAAACAATTCTAAAATATTTTTTTGCTGATATTCCAGCTGCTTTTTATTGGGAAGACAGGACCTGAACCATTTCAATTTAACCACTCAGGTTGTGTGTGTGTGTGTGTGTGTGTGTAGCCATTAATATCCAGAATGAACTACATGACATGTTCCTTTAAACATCATTACTTCAGAAGATAGATAAAAATAAGTGGAAATTTTGAAACTCAAGAACACATTTAAAGTAAAATTTGCCTTTGTTAAAATCTTGAAATCTTTATACACAAATAATGGGAAGACTGTATACAAAGGTATTCAGTAAAGAAATACACTGGAAAACAAATAACACACAGGACATGAATGTAAAATATGCCAAGAAGCAAAGTGAAAATGACAAAATATCTTTAATGTGAAAAAGTATCTTTAAGATATATGTAAAAGAATACATATTGGCACAAATCCTTTCACATAAGTTACTAAATTCATAAAAGTAATGAAATTATGTGTTTCTACAAGCTTAAAGTGGAAACAAAGGAAAGGTGGTAGTCTATATATATCTTCAGTTTCAGTTATAAAACAAATGTGCTGGATTTCTCAACTGAAAAATTACAGTTATCAAAGATATTATTCAAAAGACTTAAAAACTTCATGAAAAAATAAATTGTAATTTTGGCAGTACATTGTGTTAAGATCCATTTTATCTGTGCAAGAGCAGCTTGGTGAAGAAACTACAGTATAGCATTCTTCGCATTTAAGCACTGCTCCAAAATCTGGCTTGTTACTTTGGAATTATATTAATAACATGCAACTGAAAATCGAATCATTAACACAAATGAACAATTACTGTTTCAATTTTCTCCATCTCCTCACTGGGGAATAATTGTGCTTCCCAAAAGAATAATGTATTAAGACGTTTGTACGATATCTGTCCTTAAAACATAAATGTCAACCTAAATACATTTTCACCTGATGTACCATTTAATCACTGCTTTCAAAATGTCCTCTTTCAATTTCTAGTGATAAATTACATACGAAAAGAAATACATATGTAATTTTGGATGGAAACCTCATGAGAAGAGACCTCTTGGAGAGTTAAAATGGAGATTAAGTTTAGTAATAAAACTCTAAAGGATTTTAATAATGGTGTGTTGCAGTCATTTTTTTTAATAAATTCATAGTTTAGTATACTAAAATGAAGACACAACGTTTCAGGTGCTGGATCTTTGTCAATCTTCAGATGATGAATCTATTCTGTTGGGTCCACTAGAAGGGGATAATCCCAATCTATGAACCAGAGAAGTTTAATTATGGTTTCCATAAGAGACGTTTTTAAATATTTTCATCATCGTCTTAAATGCACTAATGTGAACAAGTCTTCATATAACCATATCTAAAGAACTATTACATAATTGCTTACCAGTCTCAAGAAAGTTCGTCCAAGCATCCGAGGCTCACTTGCATAATACTTCACACCCTCTATGAGAACTCTGGAAACAAATACAAAATCATTATTTGTACAATACAAAAAATATATTCCATAATAAACAGCAACAATAAGAAATGCACCCTTCCTGTTTTGTTTACACATGCTATGTCTGCTGTCAAGGTAGCTATGAGCAAAGCATTGTATATTGAGCAAAAATCTGATAAATGAATTCAAAAGTCCCACACAATGATAGTATGACCCAACAGCATTAATGCTGACTTAGTTTGGTGGCCAGGAGTTGCATTAGAGACTAGCAGGAGTGATTTTGCTGTATTACAGTGGATGGCGTGCTTATGTACGACTGGAGCCACGCAATTTAATCTAACACCTGCAGTGAAGTGCTCCAGCAACTTCTTCTTCTACATGTTAAAATGAAGGCAAAAGTTGTCAGTAAAATAAACAAATTAATCATAATGAATAAAAGTGGTGTTTTTTATTTTGTCCATCATCTGTTTATCAACAAAATTACAATGTTTTGTAAAATGGATCTTCTTCATCTTTGGGTAAAAAAGGAAGATAGTAACCCTGGCTGCTGAACACCCTGGCTGAGTTAGCCTCAGACCTGGTCCAGGTCTTCAAGAATGTCATTTTTTTGTCAGCCTCAAACATATTACATAATCTTTAAATTCTTAAACATGTCGGTAGTTTCATTTCAAATTAATTTTGTCAATATCTTTATACCTCCAACATATTCTCAGCGTTCCAGATTAATCCACTTGCATTCCTTACACAACACAATTCTATCAATTTCATTAATAAGGGACTGTCATTTATCTGGGTGTAACTTTCCTCTTTCAATTGATTGCTTAAAAACAGGCATGCTGTTATGAAATCATCTTCCTTGTAAGACAGTGTAAAACATTATTTCTTATAAGCCTCCATCTTCAGTTCATTGTATATGTGTTCATTTGGCATCCTGTTTACATCTTTTATCCAGTTCTGTCTGTAAAGTTTAAGTTGTCTATATCACAAACCCACTTATTATAGTTCTTTAATAATATTATTCTTCATATTATCGAAACAAGAACAAAATTTGGCACTTTTTACATGTTATTTCAGATGACCATATCCTATTTATTCTCTCTTTCTTAAAATATACTTTCAGTTTCACAGATTACAGTAGAAACTGAGAGTATTTTATAAAATGTAGTCATGTTTCCTTTCTTGATTTACATTACTGTTTTTACATATATAAATGTGCATTAAATTATTAAACACAGACATGAAGGGAAGTAATAAAGTCCTTACAGGATATTCCTTTGAGTTCATGTGTGATGCAGCTCAAGAGTATCGGATAGAACAAAGTTATATTCCTCTGAGCCCATGGTCACTGGGATTCAGGATAATGAGGACCCAGATGCTTTGGATATGAACATCTTGAACAGTCCATTCCACAGGAATTTCAGTCTCATCACGTGTTAGAAGGCTCACGATTAATGAGTGGCTGCAGGGGAGACATTCTAAACGCAGCTGAAGTAATTAATTAATTGGAAGGCCTTCTAATAAACTGTGTACATACCTAATGGCATTTGACAGGAAAAAATACAGGCTGGTAACAGGAATGTTAACTGTCCATTGTACATTGAGGTGGCAAATACATACCGTGGGCCCCTCAGAAAGTGCCAAGTACAGAAAATCTGGGCAAGAGGAGGAATCATCCCATCACATACTCCGTAAATTCTATACGCATAGACTAGATGTATTCGAGTCTGTATGGGTACAGCTGACAAATTAATAGGAGGCCTCAGTTATGTCAGTTCTAACTCCAGCAATGTGATCATAGCTTTTAAATGGCTTAACAAGATCCAACATGTACCATGGACCTTGCAGTGGTCTGAGTGCCTAGTGCAAACAAAATTGTCACCCCTATATCAACATCAATACCAGTAGAGGAGATCTCTTTGCACGTTTCTTCTACAAGGCTGTTTACACAAGGTACAAAACACGTTCCGAGTAGATTTAGATGAATTTTAATAATGTCTGTCTTCCACGCAGTCTAACAAAACAATGACTTGGACCAACAGAAAATTAGGGGTAGTATGTAATGTTACATAAACAAAGATAAATGGTAATATATAATAAATAAATATATCTACACACATGTACTGCTGAACTGAAAATATGTGAAAAGATATCTGCCAAGGGTCAAAATGGGCTGGTGTCCGTCTCCTCACCTACACTTTCCCTCTTCCCACATCCTGGCAAATAGTTGGCAGCCTACAAACTCACGTGTTATGGAAGTCAGCAATCTGCTGTAAGTTGCTGAATATGAGATCTTTGTTGTCCCGCACCACACGAGGGACATTACTGCTATCTAGTGGCTTGAGGTAGCACTCCACGACCTGCTGCAGATCACGTCCAAATTCTTCTTCAGTCTCTACCAGCTCCTGCACCACGGCTCTGAAACAAGTCAACAAAGTGCTATCAGCAAGGTCAGCACAGTAACCCCAGCTCTGGACATGCTTTATATCTTAAAAGAGGTGATAATGACTTACCTATACTCCTAGTAACATCAGTGCCCCCAAAAAACATATAACTGACTCCTTCCAGCAACCATTTTTCACAAGGAGGTACTTACTCTCGCCTCTGGCCATCAACTTCTGGTCTTATGTCTGCTGGCAGTTTCATTTCCTCTCCTGAACGCTCCAAGAGGCTCGCCGGAACCCAACCTTGCCTGGACGGATCATCGAACACCCTCACCAGCCACCTGAGAATCGTTTGGTGTACAGTGAATACAAGTAAATACCTTATTATTCGTGATCAATTGACATATATTTAGCTATCAATGAAGATAAATATTAGGTGTAGGATATTTATTCATTACTATTGTTGTCATCATAGTCCTTATGGTAAGCATAAGACGAATATGTATGTGAAACAAGACTGGAATACACAAAGTTTCCACGAGCGTTCTTTGCATTCTTAACGTCCCAGCTGAAACAGATAATTACAGTAAAGTACATGTAGGCCTACTAAGCACGCGTTGTCATAAGTAATACCACTGTAGATTGCAGAAGATCTAAACAGAAGCAGGGCCGTAAGATAAATTTTATTCATAAATTCTAGCCTACTTATCCTCTATTTTCAAAAACAAATTGAAAAACTGTAACCCACATTTGCATACTTTTCAATGTAATCACTAATATTACCAATAAAACATGTTATCATAATATATGAACACAATACATTACTACTTTAGATTTATTCTCTACTGATTCAATTTTTTTATCGAAACTAACTGCTCAGATAACAATATAAATTCAAACTGAGAGCTTTGACTTTAATACCACACTGCAAACTACTCATTACACTCAAAACCTAAATAGCCTCTCTCTTCTGTTTACTTTTCGTTCACACATCATATTTTTATGTAACATATACATGGAAATCTAGGGGAAGTGAGATCTAGTGACCATAGTTGAAAATTGTGAGGACCACCACAATCAATCTATCGGTCAGAATCTGCTCATTCGATATTCCGTCACTTGTCGACTGCAACGTGGAGGTCCCGTCTCTCATGTTTTGTATCCGAAGCTAATGAATAGCTTTATAATAATCTGATTACCTAGGATCTACACTAAAAGCTGTTGAACGAATTTATTTTGGTTCATACTTGTGTAATATAAAATCATAGATTTTACACCGAACTGCATAATTTGTAAAAGAAAGGGTTCATTGACAAACATTTTTTGTGTCACAATAAATTTCGATATCATAAAAATATATAACTTCTATTTGAAGTATTTTTCGATATTCTGTAAATGGGTACCTATAAAACAAAAGATTTGAAACTCTCACGGCGTCTGAACGCAATGAATGAAAAATTTTCGGGTGATGACATAGTAGTTACAAAGTTAATCGGCCGAGAAGACTTTATTGCACAATGGCACGCAATATGCGACTATAGTGATCCCACGATCCATTCATTGCCGAGGGTAATGACGCAACATAAATGTCTAACGCCTATTTTTACACCAGAAAACTTCACGGTTCGAAACGCAATGTAGTTTACAAACCTCGTTATACAAAACCATTTTACCAGGCGCAACTTCTAGTTACAGACGCTGTTTTCCAACACACAATATTCGCACTTAACAGTATAACATATTACGCATTACATTATCATCTGTTAATAAACAGCTGCAGCAGTAATAGGTATAAAACATAAAAAAATATTGAGATTTCAGTTTCTCATGGCGGCGAATATGAACATGACACTCTTCTGCGATGTTGTGTCGAGTGGTCTCGTAGAAATTGGCCACCGTTTCACAGTTCCTTACTGCCTACATAATCAAGAAGCCTGTATTATATCAGAGCTCATTTATGCCCTAAAATTACACTTATAATTTTCCGAAATGAGCTAAATGTATATTTTCCCAATAAAATTCAGAAAATTAACTTCGCAGTGAATTTAATATAAATTCGGCAAAGAATTTCGAAGCTAAAAACAAGCTAGAAAATTTATATATTCAAAATGATGGATATTCGTAGGCATTATCTTCTTCTATTAATTTAACAGATTTAAAAACACACACGACGTTTCGGAAGCTGGCTCTGCTTCCAGCATCAGGTGAAACCACACAACCCTTGCCCGGCGACTGAGATTAATTCTCACCGATGGACCGAACTAAATTAGTTCAAGGTTACACCTGATGACAGAAGCACAGCCAGCTTCCGAAACGAGGGAAAAGGTCAGTTTAATAACACACCTTTCAAACAAATCATATTCGATATTCATTTGTGGCAAGCCCGCGAAAGATGCCTAAGGACCGCATCACCAGATTGAATAACGCTTTCAAAATAAAGCACGGTAGTTTTTCGCCAGAACACCTCAATATAGCATGAGCGCACTCACGTTGTCCGTGTTTCTAAGACAAAGGAATAACCATTGTCAAAGTGATCTACTTTTTGTGAGTCATATCTGTCACTCAGCTTCAAGGAATTTATCAATTTACCTTAAAGGTTCAAGGCCTTTCTTAAAAGTTTATAGTTACTCGGCTGGTCTACAAATAATGTGTAAGCTGACTTAATATAACTTGAATCTGCATTACCACCTCAACAATACCCCGCCACTGAGTACTATCCGGAGCCAGCTGAACCCTATTTTTGTTCTATAACCAATTTACTTAAGATGAATTCTAATATTATAATATCCCCTTTCTGTTAGAAAGCTAGAAGCTTGCCTTTTCCAAAATATGAAAAGCCTACATTGAATCTTTCCTCATCCGAGCTACATGCCCAGTTTATCGTTCCCCGACTTCACCATCGTAACCACAGACCTAGTACATAAATTACGAAACTGCTTTCTGCGTAATATCCAGCACTTCGCACTTACTTTGTCTCAGAATGTGTACAAAATAGTACTCTTAACTTTGTGTCTTTAGAAT